AGTTCCAGGAGGTGTGTTCAGTGACAGGCATATTCTAACACTAATATTATGCATGTCTCTTGCAGAGCACATTGAAATCTCATCAAAGAAGACATAAGAGACACCTTCCAGTTTCTCCTTTGTTGCAGTTAACATGCTTTTTGAAACAGCAAAGTTTATGCCAAATGCTGAGTGATAGGTCATACCTCCAGGCAAAAGACATGCAGCACTTGCAGTTGGTGCAACAACCAGCAGTTTATGAAGTTCATTTCGAGAAGTGAACAAATGGACAAGAGCTTTGAGCACCTGTGATTTACCTGTCCCACCCATTCCACCAATATACATTTTCAGCTGACCACTATTTTCAGCAACTGAATGGTTTGCAACAATTGTGAAGGCTCTATTTTGCTCTTCATTGAGGCAAAACTTATCAATGCACTCCAATACCAAGCCATGGTGTATTCTTGGAATATAGGTTGCCTCAAGGTATGATTTATCAATCACTTTAACATAATCATAATCCTGTGGGTGTGAACTTGGACCATTGACACCATTGCTAACAGAGCCAGCCTGCTTTCGAGACTCTATTACTTGCTGGCGGAGGGACAGAACAAGTTGCTGCCACTCCCGGGGTGATTTACTTGGAAGTTTGATATAGTGCTCAGGGTTTTCAGCGCACAGTGTGCTGTCTTCCAACAAAAGAGGAGTTGCCCAATGAGAATTCTGCATTAGTGCTTTCATGCTCTTGATGGCCTTATCACGCCGAAGTGCAGCTACACACATTTTGTCATTTTCCAGCTGCAAGTTTATATCACATGCATCTTGTAAAATGCCCTCTAATTCACTCTCACACTTCTTGGACACGTAGTGGTCATCTGAGAATGGAAGGGCCAAATCACTGTTGGTGCCAGTCTTCATTTCAGTTCTGAAGTCATCCTTTGCGTCAAGGCATTCATAACGGAGGTTGAAGTTGTTCATAAGTCGTGTATGATGAGCACTAAACTCTTGTTCAAGAAACGCTTCGTCCCATGTTTTATCTGCACCTTTAAGTTCCTTCCCACTCCTCCAGGGCAGGAACAAAGCCAACATTGTGCTGCAATAATACTCACGATCACCTTGATCTCGTCTTGGAGGGGCACTCATGAAATTGAGAACTGTTCTACTCAAGCTCTTGTTTGTCTCCAACATAAGTGCACATTTGTGAGTAGAGGACAGAGGATGATCTGCTTGATATTCAAGAAGTAACTGCTTACACCTTCTAGAACCTGACAAAAATCTGTCAGTTCCCTCATCATATTCATCAGTTTCATTGCAGAGGTTCTCGTCATCGTCATCTTCACCATTGTCTGAGCCCAAGTCAGTGTTTTTTTCTGCCTTTGTATTTGCAGCCTTAACTCTTTTGCAACGGATGGCCCAATCATAGAGACACATAGACTCCAATGCTTCTGGCCGGTATACATAGTCAAATACAGGTGACAAACCCACTATCCTGTTGTTCGTCTTCACTAATGCCACTTTGTCTGTACTCTTGTAGGCATCATCGGGGTGCCAGTAACTTCGGGCTTCTGATATGTAGGAGGTCCAGTAAAACACCTTGAAGATGTGGCTGGTGTAGTGGTCTTGATGACCAAGCAGATACATACAAATCATGGGAGATCCCATATCAAGTTTTGCACCCATCAAGTTGACTACTTTAGTCATAATCTGGCGAGCTTTTACTGCTGAGTCTACTCCTGTATCATTTAGAATGTCAGGATTGCGAGTTAATATAGCCTGGATGCACTCAAATACAACATGGGTTTTTAACCCACATTTAGTTATATAGTCCGATACATATGCCACAACAGCCTTTACTGCAGTGCCAGACAACATTGAGGTTACATCTGTGTTCGACCGGACAATATATGATATAATTGGGGTAAAAGTATTGATCCACTGTTCAAGCTTTTTCATGACAATAGAACCAGTCTCTTTGTTGACTTCTGTTTCTTCTACTACTTTACGTGGAAAGCGAGCCTTGCATTTTCCCCATTTATTGTCTTTGCAACCTTTGTACACGTGAAGCTTATTCTGAGTGCCATCCTTGTTTAAATATCTATCACAGTTGTGTACATTTGACTGCACTACGATTTCATCAGTGGTTTGTGAAAACTGCAACCACCACTTTGATAATGTATCACAAGAGCCACAACTTTTGTCAACACATGTGCAATCCAATGTCTGAGGGGGTATTTCAGGGACGAATAAAGTGTGATCAACATATGTGTTGTCAGACTTTGCCTTAGCCACACGACTTTCAACTTCCTCTTGTGTTCCAGTTAAAAATTCCCCTACACAACAAGACTCTAGCCAGGCAACTAGCCTTTTTTGCCACTCGCTGTCAGATGAAAGTAGAGTATCACGTATTTCCTGAGGTGACAGTGATCCCATAACCCACACCATTGCATGCAAATGCAGAGACAGCCGACCTTGCTGTTCCACTGTACCATAGTATGCTTCAACATCACCATAAACCCCAGGGCCATCAGCATCAAATCGCAAAATCTCATAAATGAACACCTCCACCATAAACTTGAAAAACCGTGCACACGCTACAGGATTTGAGGTAACTATGCGCATTTGTTCATCAGCTGGCAGAATTGGTTGAAATGTTTCATCTGTACCTGCATAATAAATACTAATGGGGTGTTTGATATCAATGGGAGACAGTGTAATATACCAAATAGGACTTCCCACATGATACATTAGTGACCATATTTCATTGCGTTGATTTTTCTTAGATGTCGGTGAGCCGCTAACACCGACTGCAATATGATCTAAATCTCTCACAATATCAAAGCAGTTCTTTTCATCAGCTGTCTCAGGCTTGACATATTCACCATTTGCTGTTCGTGTGGCAATTGAGGCAAGAACATCCTCATTGAGATTCATTATACACTCAGAAATTGCCTTGAACTTTGACTTCTCTGTTAACAGAAATGCTCTGCTTGAACTTTTCATTATTTGTTCATGACTGAATGCAACAAATGGGAATGTTGCATCAGTTTGAAACCGTTTATCATGATACATGAGAAGCCACTTCTTGTGAGCAGATGTTGACATTCGATAGACAGAACCAATGCCTCCACATCCATATGGAAATAACCAAGGAAACATTGAAGGATATAGCTGAGGGTTATTCCATATTGACTCAAAGTTAGAGGACTGTCCTATTGCCAAAACCCTGCCAGACTGATTGAAATACTGCAATGCCAGAGTTTTGAGAGCACTGCTGGACGTCTCTTCCATTTGTGCACCAGTCAAACCATGTATAACAAACGGACATGGACCTTCTTCTGTACCATCCTCTTCCTCCATGTCATTAACTGCTGGTGTTCCGCTGAGCTTTGCAGATATGGTTGGTTTGTACTGTATAGTGACTGGTGCTATATCATCCCTGTATTGAGCAAGGTTTTCATCGTCAATGGCAACTTGAGAATAGTCGGAATGGTTCAAAATCAACCAGTCTAATGCAGCCCTTACCTTGTTTGCACGCACTAGGAATGGTGTCCTTTTCATATCATCATTCTCCGGTCGTTTTGGACCAGTAAACAATATAACAAGTACCTCGTCCAATTCTGCCTTTGAAATTGGAAGACGTGTGTATATCTTGGGTACTGGTGATTCAAAAGCTAACGCATTTGCTATCATTTTCCTGAATCCGCTAGACACACGGATGAAGCAGCTGCTGTACCGAACACGGGCAATGACGAGCTTCTCAACAAACCTCAATTCCTTCAGCTGTGGAGGAACTGTCCCAAGCCACAAGCCCCGAGCTAGGGTGTTTTTTGGTACTCTCTCTTTACGCAAAGCGGAGCGACAGGTGTCACAAACCATAGAGATAGAGTGATCTATCACTGCTCCTGGAATGGACCTAATTGGGTCGCTTGCCTGCTGTCTCTGCATTCGGCTCACACCAGGTGCCTCTAGCACATAAAGTAGGTTCTTAACAGCCTTCAGTCTTGAAAGCTCTGCCTTTAACACTAGCTGACCACATACTGCACAACCTGCTTCCTGGACCGCCAAAGGCTCCATCTTCTTTGCACAGGCAGTCACCATATTCTTGATCGAATACTTAGATGCTGGGAGAGGAGGAAAGTCAGTGGTCTCAGCATCCTTCACATTTATTTTTGATATCTTTTCCTTCTCTTCAATAGGTATCCGACTAAGTTGACTGCTAAACTTTTTCGTACTTTTTATCTCAAACACATAGGTAAGGGAGTAGCAAATTGCACAAGAATGGTTTTGTGCCATACTAATTACCAAGGTCTTTGTAGACTTGCTACTGTAAGGGCAATCTCAAGATGGCCGCACAGTGCAAGCCTAGCAGAGGGAGAATCCAAAGATGAATAAGACTAACTGCAATACATGAGAGAGCTGCTCACCTAGCAGAGGGAGAATCCAAAGAGAACAGGATGGGGATTCTCCATGCTAGGAAGCAAAGTATATACTGTAGTAGCGTGGGAGGAATGAAGGGTAACTGTACAGTACACCAGCCACAGGTACAAACGAATATCACAAGGTACGAGGGGGCATGTGATAATGAAGTGGAAGGGGAATGTACAGGAGTTGTGCCAGCGACCTGGGGAAGTGGGGACAAGGAGTAATGAAGTGGGAAAGGAGGATAGAGGTAGCCCGGACGAACCCCGAAGTGTATCTACGAGTCCGAGCGAGTCTGAAGTGTCCAAGCGAGTCCGAGGCGAGTCCGAAGTGCGGGAAGACTTCGGAGTCACCAACGGGGCTCGGATGCGAAGGGAGTGAACGGAAGGGAAGCGGAAAGGTAAGGGGACAAAAGGAAAGGAAAGGGGATGAAGGAAAGGGGAAAGGAACGAGGAGGAAGGGGGCGGTACAGGGGGAATAGGAGAAAATAGGAGTGTCCCCTTACAGAACATAGCATTCAAAGAATTCTGTGGGAGCAGCCTGCTTGCTCTGTTGAGAAGAAAATACCTGCAAAACTTCGTCTTTGCAAAGGATTGCCAGTGATGCTACGAGACAACAGTGCCACTGAGCTATGCATGACAAATGGGCAGGAGGGGACTGTGTATGACTGGGTACCCACAGTTGGTGTGTATGGCCAGCCAGTATTGGATGTTCTGTTTATAGAACTGAAAAAACCGCCCACTCCTGTTCAATTTGAGGGTCTGCCACTGAATGTGGTGCCTATTATGAGAACCACTACTCCCACTTGGTGTGATCTGCCATCTGGAAAGAAATTGCACATATCCAGAAGCCAGGTCGAGGTTACTGTCAATTATGCCATGACAGACTTTGCTTCCCAGGGAAAGACTAGAGAAAATAATGTGGTCCATCTGAATGACACAGCAAGTCACCAAGGCTACTATACAGCTCTTTCTCGAAGTGCTACTGCTGCTGGTACACTCATATTGCAAGGCTTTAATCCATCCATCATATCTGACAAGAAATGCTCAGGTGCTTTACGGCAGGAGTTCCGTGATCTAGAACTACCCGACGACATCACACGTTTACAGTTTGTAGGCAAACTTCCTCCTTCTGTTGTTGGTGATACCAGACGAACTTTAATTCATTCATTCAGACAACACAAGTCCGAGTCATATGTTCCCCATCACATGCATAGTGCAATACGTTGGAACAAGAAACAACCATATATTGAGCCTGATTTTAATGACTTAGACTGGAGCATTATACCAACTCAGCACATAACCAAGTTTCTCCCAAGCGAATTTGTTCAGGAAATGAAGGAGAAGGCTGAAGTTTGGAAGACTGAGAGTAGTGGGGCAACTCAGCTACCGCAACTGCATGTAGCATCCAAGTCCACCTATAAGCTGGCTGATACAAGACCACAAACACAGGTTGCCTCTGTAAAACGCTCTATCTCAGATGATTTGGCCCAAGGTGCAGCTACATTTTACACTCAGAGAAAGCGCATCAAAGTCTCAAATCCTACCAGCATACAGCATCATCCAGCAGTGCATTGCCTTATACCCATTGGTTGTCAGTGGAGTGATAATAGCTGTGCCTATGACACTGTTCTCTCGCTACTATACAATGCATGGCTGGATAAGCCAGTTGCTACATTCCCTGAGTTGTCTAGTGTTCTGTTTCCTGCCCTTATCAAGTGCTTTGATCAAGTGAATCACAGCCAAGATAGACTCACTGACACCCGTGAGTATGCAAGGCAGGCCCTAAGTGTGCAGAGACCAACTGAGTTCAAATATGGAGAGTATGCCTCTGTGTCTTCCATCTTGGATATCCTTTTTAGTGCCACAGATGGAATGGTTGACTTATTGTACAATTGTGCTGATGGGCACTGTAGTTCTGTGACACCTGCCCATCATGCTAGTTTCCTTATATCATTGGAGAACACTCCTTACACCTCTGTTGAAGCCTGGTGCTCCAGTCAAGGTTCAAACACACGACGTCTGTGTGTGGTGTGCTCACAGACTGTACTTGTAAAGCATGTCTACTCCTATCCCCCTTATTTTATTGCCTTCGACTTTGCAGCAGGTTCTGTCCATATAGACCACAAGATTTACATAGATGTACAAGGCAGAAGCATCCCTTACTATCTTAAGTGCATTATTTATTATGGTAGGTCACATTTCATTGGTAGATATATAGATAAGAGTGGCAGAGTGTGGGTTTACGATGGTATGTCTAACTCTGGCATCATGGAGTATGACAGTGATTGTTACAGGGGTGATCTCTCCACATGCAGATCAATGCATGCAATTGCTGCTGTGTATGTACGTTCCCCACATGTTCAGATAGCATTAGCTCAATGAATCTGACCACACTAGATGTATATGAAGACAAGACTGTATATATTATATTCACCTTATTGAGGAAAGAAGAGAGGACCCGTACATGCCATGCGCTGCACTGGCCCACACCCCCAAGTAGGTTAATTCCACTTTATGGCCATTCAGATCACTCATTTACTACTTCCTGTAGAACTCATCACCTTGTATTTGTTCTACAGGTATGTAAAGATATGAATATATCGAGCTTTGAACTTATCGCTCAATTGGCTGAGAACTCATCACCTTGTATTTGTTCTACAAGATACTGATCACATGGTGTTTCTGGTCTCAAAGTTACGTGATCACCTTCACAAATGCGTGTAGATCATAGCCTAAGAGTCCGAATACTATTACCTTGTGTATTCCGAAAGATATGGGCGGTGTGAGCAGATGTATTGCACTACTGATTCTCAGGTCACACCGGGAGGTTTTCAACCGTTGAAACTGTGCCAAATCAAGATGTGCGTGTGGGGGATATAAAATAAGTATATGGTTGTCTACAAATCTAGCTACTCGGTGCAAAATTACTTGCAGGAGAGACTGCGCGAGCGTAGCACTACTAGGATGGAGTGTGGGAAAAAAAATAAGAGGCCGGGCCTTCGGTTCTGCAACTAGCTGTAAACCATATTTTGATATTATCTTTTTGAAGGGATATTCAACTTGTATCGGAACAACAACATATGCGTGAATGGGGCCAATACCTATTCTCTGAATCAAAGTCCGAGGGTAGTTGCAAGCAGAATTGTTGGTTCCGAGCGCCTTTCCCATTCAGTGGTACCTTCCCAAACGGGGGTTGAACACTGTATCCCTCCAGCACTCGCCGACGACGGCCCCATCGACTCGACGATTTGAGATGGCTCTCGACCAACCCAAGGTGAGCTACCGGGCGGCTCGTTGGCGTCAAGCGTTGATTCGCTCCTGACATGACCAAACAAGCATACATCCTCTCTCTTGAGAAAATGACTTCTCTCAAATCTTCCTCACTTCGACGGCGCATTTGGCGCAACTGCTGTTCGACGGTCGGACCTCCATTCCAAGGGCTTTGTGGGTGTTCAAGAACCAGCAGAAACCGTTCAGCATCTGTAAAGATCAGCCGATAGGTGTTTGGCGCAACGCGGGGCCTGGTGGACATCTCGTCGACACGGCGCCTGGAACGCCGACGCTCTGGTGCAGGGACTGGAGTTACGACGAATCTGGAGCGTGTACTATGGTCGATAGGAAGGGGAAGGGCAAAGCGCGCGAGGCGGTCAATGGAACGGTCGCGGGAGACGTCCTTGACGCAGAGACGAGTGCACTCCTGGCCGAGAGACAGCGGGAGATGGAGACCATCCATGACCGCCATGATACCCTCGTACGTTTCTCCCCTTCCTGTGGACTTTGACACTAACCTACAGAAGGTCCGCGAACTCTTCCACATGGTGCATTTTCGCAACATGCTGGCATACGATCCTGCGGTGCGTCATATTTGTTCACGCGGGGGATACTTGTTATTGAATGGAGTCCAGGAGGCGAAATGGGATAATTCTCTCGTGTTTCAACAGGTTGGTGTGCTCTGGGCTCTTCTGTGCGCACATACTCAATGGGGTGTAGTTCAAAGCAGATTATGATTTATTAGAGCAAGCATCTTCGATGGCTGCGGGGCCTTCGATGCGCAGAACGCGACGTGCCATCAATGAACGACATCAGATTCTGCATGCACCGCTGCTAAAGGTCAAGAAGGGGACGAAAGCTACTCAGGGCAGGGCTATTGAGTCAGTCTCTGCTTCGATGGCAATGCACGACGATACGCAACCTCGGAAACGGCGCAAGACGGAGCCTATTCTAGCGACGCAGAAACTCTCCTTGCGTCCAGAGGTGCTGACCACCAACCAAGTTAGTGCAGGGTGTTTTCAGCAACTTACGCGGCTGATGAGGTTCATGCAGCAGCCTAATACCAACGTCAAACTCAACATCAAGCGAATCAAGCTTCTTGTGCGGCGCCCGCCGCCTACTATTTCGCATCCACGCCAACGGCCTGGGCCGGCGCGGTTCAATACATCTGTGTCTGCGCTGCTGACGTCGTATAGAACGCTCAACGACCGCGAGCTCAATCACGAGGCGTTCGAGCAGTCGGCCAGTGCCGATGCCGAGATCCACGAGCGCGTCGAGCTGTTTCGCAAGCAAGGCCGGTTTATTCCTGGGACCGATGTCTTGTTCGGGACCACGCCGCAGGAAGGGTCTTTCACGACGCCACAACGCAGCACGCACGACATATGGGACGAGGTTGTTGCGGACGCCACTGCGGCCGGGCGCGCTCGTCTCAAGAAATCGACGGGCAAGACGATCAGCGCGCTAATACAGGGATACTGGGATGCACAGGCGTCGAAGAAAGACCGGGCGAAGGTGCTGGAGGAGCGGCGGCTGCGGGCTCTTGCGAAAGCGACGGTGCGACTGGTTGCCAATGAATGGAAGCGGGTGCTGTTGGTGCGTTGTATGCCCTATGTGGTCTTGCTGACGCTGAAACTGTGCGTTCTGTGCAGCACATCCGCGAGCAGGAGCGGGTGAAGCGCGAGGCTGAGGAGATGAGACGCGGGGCGGAGCATTTGGATGCTATCTTGGACCAGTCTGGGCATATTTTGACTGCTCAGCAGGGGGATTTGGTGCGTTCACGTAGCCGGTCGGCGTCTTCTTCGTTGCACCAGTGGGCGTCGGACAGCGAGAGAGATGGCGACGACGAGGATGAAGACGATGAGGCGGATGACGTGCAGAGTGAGATCGACGATAATGGTACAGACGTGCCAGGAAGAAGAGATGAAGACGACGGTAGTGAAGCTAGCGATGGCAGTGAAGATACTGGTGCTCTCATTCGCCAGCATTCGCCTCGCTTGGAAGAACATGCCTCGATAGATGACACGGTTGTAGACGAAGCCGAGCACGCACTGCGTAAGCTCCCAGAGTCTAGCCCCGCTGTCATGGCGAACATCATCGAGCTTCCGAACGATTCTCCGACGCCCTTGGCTGGAGACGATGGCGATATCACAGACATCCGGCCAGCTGTTGCTGAGCCGCCTCAAACTGGAGACGATGCCGTCAGTGGCACCTCGCCCTTGCTAGATGCAAAGGAATCCACTGACGCGGAAGACATTCTCCGTGGTGCCGTCATCAAAGTGGCAGAGGACACGACTCCGACTGAGGACGATTCTGAGCCCGAGGAGACGTCCACCGAATCAGGCATCCCGGAGTATCTGAAGCCATATGCCGTCGCCCCCGTTCAATGGGACCACCAAGACAAGATCAAACCGCCTTTGCTTCTGCGCGGTGTCCTACGTCCTTATCAACAAGCCGGGCTGGAATGGTTGGCGAGTCTCCATACGAACAACTTGAATGGAATTCTTGCTGATGAGATGGGCTTGGGGTGCGCGCTGTTCTTTCAGTTCCGCTAGACTCTTAACTCAGTGGTCCCATAGAAAAACAATCCAAACAATCGCTTTGCTGGCTCACCTAGCCTGCGACCACGGCATCTGGGGTCCCCATGTCATAGTAAGTTTGCATCATCATTGTCAATGGTACACAGTATATGTATCCTGCGTTAGATCGTCCCGACGAGCGTCCTTCTCAACTGGGTCATGGAGTTCAAGAAGTTCCTGCCAGGTTTCAAAGTCATGAGTTATCACGGTAGCACGAAGCGTCGGAAGGAACTTCGTCAAGGCTGGAACGATAAGCATCACTTCAACGTCTGCATCACCTCGTATACGCTTGCCAGCCGCGATGCGCACATATTCAAGCGGAAGTCGTGGTACTATATGATTCTCGACGAAGCGCATATGATCAAGAATTTCAAGTCCCAGCGCTGGAATATATTGCTCATGTTTCGCTCCTTTCGTCGTCTCCTCCTCACGGGGACGCCTCTCCAGAACAATCTCACGGAGCTCTGGGCGTTGCTGCAGTTTCTCATGTCTGGTTCTAATTTCGCCAATCTCAAGGAATTTGCTGAGTGGTTCTCTAGTGAGTAGACTAACGGCTGTCTCTGGTTACCATATACTTACTGGTTTCCCCAGACCCTCTGGAAAAGGCGATCGAGATGGGCAATGCTCTCGACGAAGACACCATGCAGCGTGTGACGAAGCTACATACTGTCCTCCGTCCGTATCTGCTACGAAGGCTGAAACGCGACGTGGAGAAAGAGCTGCCAAGCAAATACGAACACCTGGTCTTATGTCCGCTTTCCAAACGCCAACGATTCTTGTACGACGAGTTCATGGCGAGAGCTCATACTCGAGACGCGCTAGACTCAGGCGTGTATCAGAAGATAGCCAATATCTTGATGCAGCTGCGCAAAGTCTGCAACCATCCCGACCTCTTCGAAGTCCGTCCCATCGTGACGTCGTTCGCAATGGACCGTTCAGCAGTTGCAGACTTCGAGATCAAAGAACTCCTCATCCGGCGGCGGATGTTCCATGATGCCGAGGAATCCGTCAATCTGGACGTTCTTGGGTTGCGATTCATCGACCGCCAGGGTTCATCTTTCATTGCCGCCCAGGAAACTCGAAGGTTGGAAGCAACTGCGCGACTTCCGTTCATCTCCGAAATGCCTGGAGAGCCCCCGCCGAAGGATACGCGTACGATCGCCGGGTTTCGTAAGTACGAGGCGTATCGTGAACGCGCTGAAACGATAGCAAGATGGGCCCATATCGGATACCTCAATGGTCTCCGATGTAATGCGTCGCCCATATTCAGCTATGAGAGCCTTCGGCTGCTGCGTCAGTTTACACGCTCTCCGATTCCTTCACAATACGCCGACAATCGCACTACGTACCTAGAGGAAGTGAGTGTGGTCAACGACATGGTGACATCCTATGGCGACCGGGAATCGGAAATGGCAGGAATCATCGATCGATTTGCCTTCGTGACATCTCCGGTGGTGGCAATGGATATGCCGCGTCTGGCACTTGGCGCGCACGAAGACTTCCTTCGTCAGCAACCCCCTTCATTTGACGAACTTCTCCATCGCTCTAGCGTGAAGTTACAGATTGCGTTCCCAGATCCGTCTCTCATCCAGTATGACTGCGGTAAGCTTCAGCAACTTACACGTCTGCTGCGGGAGAAGAAGATGGGGGGCCATCGGGTGCTCATCTTTACACAAATGACGAAGGTGTTGGACATCTTGGAGATATTCATGAACCTGCACGGATATTTGTACCTACGCCTTGACGGTGCAACGAAAATCGAGGATCGCCAGTACATCACGGAGCGCTTTAACGCTGACGCGCGAATCTTTTGTTTCATATCGTCGTCCAGATCTGGCGGCGTTGGGATCAAGTAAGTTGAGGCGTCGGTCTGATTCACAGCTTCGCTGACCTCTCGGTAGCTTGACAGGCGCGGATACGGTTGTTTTCTACGACAGCGACTTCAATCCCCAGATGGATCGTCAGTGCGAGGATAGGTAAGTTACTCTTTCCGCGCCCAGTCGTATTCTGGTCTAAATTTCACCAGGGCTCACCGTATCGGTCAAATCCGCGACGTCCACATATACCGCTTCGTTTCCCAGCACACGGTCGAAGAGGCAATGCTGCGCAAGGCCAACCAGAAGCGCTCGTTGGACGATTTGGTAATTCAAAAGGGCGAGTTCGATTGGCGCTCCTTATTTAACGATGAGAGTGCTCTCACGCGTGCCCTCGGAGAAGTTGAGGACACGGAGGACGCTCGTGCCGCTGATCTCGCTGCCCGCGAAGAGGTAGACATGGAGGGTGCGGATGCAGACGACTTCGGGGAAGACAGGGAAGCCAATGAGATTGTGCCACCGCAGTCAGGGACAGGCAACCCTCCGGATGAAGCTCGTGTTACTGGTGGTGTACCAGAACCGCCACCCGAAGAAGAGGGAGAAGAAGAGGGTGGTACCGTCCTGGACTACATGTTTGATTTTGTTACAGCTGACTACGATTTCTTCCGCGACTGGTGAAATTGAGAACATGTGTGATGCTTTACTTGCTATATATTTATTATATTATCATTATGCCATTCTCAGTGTAGTTCCCCTCTTTGCTTTTCTGCTTGCATACTACATTTGGTACTTTACATATGTCCCTTAGACACTGAGAGTCTATCTCTTTGATTCCTTCAAATTGGGCATATTTCTGGCCATGGATAATGGCTTGCTGAAGGATGATGAAAAGAAACATGTGAAGCAGGCTTTAAGCTGAGGCACTATATAGTCTTCAAGTTACAGAGCATGAATGCTAATTTTCAATGCAGGAATTCAGAAGAAAGCAGTGATTGAACAAATTCAGAACAATGAAATCAGTGAGCAAAGAAAATAGACTGTTTGACAAATACAATGTAAAGGAATTACAGCATGGTTCAAAGCATGGCAAGGAAGAGGAGATCATGAACTTGTTGTTTCATCATAAAAGTTTGATTATTGGCTCCAAATAGGCCAACCAAGCCTGTTCAACTTCTTCAGCTGTTAGAACTTGGGTTTTCAGATTAGAGGAAAAGGATGCTTGTAGGCATTACTGGAGAATCTCCAGTATTTCACTTTTCTCAGCATGCTTCTTGGCTGCAATACTATCTAAACGGTATTGTTGGTGATATAGAGGGTTCATGCTTGAGGTTAGTGAAAGCATCTTCACGGTTGGGTTCAGAAAACATAGACATCTGGGAGTTGGGTGTTATGGTCCGGTCTGTTCCGAACGATTACCTTTTCCGATATCTTATCTAAACGCGCAAGACGTGCCTATTACTAATTCTCATTACAATACCTTAGTAAGATCCTCACGTCTAACGCGTGTCCGCAGTACATTACCAAGCTCCTCATGGAATCGGTGCGCGTTCCATGGAAAGACGGCTGCAGTAGGCATGTAGTAGTACATGAGGGTTACGCATGTATTTTAGTATTTAAGTACCAATAACATACCCGAGAACGCTAGCTCGTTCTCTTGGGATTTCCGCTAGTAATAGTGAGACCTAAGTCAATAAGCCCTTCATCTTTCTTTTGAGTTTTAGTATTCTTGTAGGAGCCACGTTAGTCCTAGACTAGTGTCGCCCTAACATTGGGAGATGATGTGCTTGATTGGAGGTGGTTACTTCAGTGGGCTGATTTTCCTTCTGGATAACTGTTATCATCTCTACTACCACCTCTACCCCCAAATTGAGCAGCTTAGCCCATATTTCTACAACCTCCAACAGCAGCTGGGGGAGTGGCTTCAAAAGTGTCTGAAGTGTATCAAGTTGATTGGTTATGAAGCCTAAATTGGCTGGAGGAGGTTAATTAGTCAAGTGTCCATGAAATGGACTCCAGTACTTACTACTGCTACAGTTGAGGACAGTAAAAGTCCACTAAAATAGGAAGTTTTTTTATTGTGCTCCGGACTTGCATGGAATATATTCCAGCTTGAAAACCCTTTCAAATGATACCATGCTGGTCCAATTCTGATGAGCTGATCACCCAGAAAAGGTGAATTACTGGAAAATACCATCAAAATTTTGGCATAAGCCAAATATATTAGATATGTCGCGACTCGGCTGATTTTTCTGCAAGGCATGGGAATGTCTTCTAAGGCGTCAATACAGAGGGTAGCCGATAAGGGCTATATAAGCAGGCCTTGACATCATGTGATGCCCTATAGGAGATAGTCTGAATCATGTAAGATACCGGTTATACTGATAAGATATAGATAATCCAATAAGATCATATAGGATCTTATCAGACACGATAAGATCCTATGGTTGCGCGCTTAACGATTACAGCCGCTTCCCACCTTTCCGTAGTCCCCTCCTCTTCAGAATCCCAACATGGCCACCGCACTCGGTCCTATCCCAGTTACGGATATTAAAAGGCATAGCAAGTATACGACAAGCTTGTAAGGGCAACCTCAAGATGGCCAACAGTGCAGGCCTAGCAGAGGGAGAATCCAAAGATAATGAATAAGACTAACTACAGTACATGAGAGGGCTGCTCACCTAGCAGAGGGAGAATCCAAAGAGAACAGGATAAGGATTCTCCATGCTAGGAAGCAAAGTATATACTGTAGTAGCGTGAGAGGAATGCAGGATAACTGTACAGTACACCAGCCACAAGTCCGAGCGAATATCATGAGGTACAAGGAAACATGTGATAATGAAGTGGAGGGTAAATGCACAGGAGTCGTGCCAGCGACTTGGGGAAGTAAGGGCGAAGAGTAATGAAGTGGGGGAAAAGGATAGAGGGAACCCGGACGAGCCCCGAAGAGTATAGACAAGTCCGAGCAAGTCCGAAGTGTCCGAAACGAGTCCCAGCAAGTCCGAAGTGTCCGAAGTGCGGGAAGACTCCGGAGTCACCGGACATGGCTCGGATGCGAAAGGAGTGGGTGGAAAGGAAGTGGAAAGGAAAGGGAGCGAAAAGGAACAAAGGGGAACAAAGGAAATGTAGGTAAGAGTCCATGGGATGAAGAAAAGGAGAGAAAATAGGAGTGTCCCCTTACACACTCCAGCTCGTTTCGAAGCGTGTTGTTAAGAGCCACACTCGCAGGGGCTCGGAATACGCGGACCTGCGGGTGCGCAGTTCCACATAGAGGCACAGAGGGGAACAAGGGGAGCGAGGACGTACAGGCTTGGCTTTAGCTACTGGCTGCGCCTCCCACACTCTTGCGTGCCCTGTATTTCCAGAGGGAGTCCTGTGTGGGTACCAAGGGTACGGGCGGAGGCAAGGGGATGCGACGGGGGAACCTCAATAGAGAGGCAAGGATGCGAGTGCAGAAAGGAACTAATATTCGAACTAAGGTAACTGTATGTACGGTACAGGAATATATACTGGGGAACACGCAGCATCCCCGCATTCACAAAACAGCAACGAGTTCGGTAGGAATACGTACAGTATGCTCGAATATGTACAAGTCCAAAAACCTGTGACAAGTCTGTGTAGCCGCATAGATGCACGGCCCAAGTCTGTAGCCGGAATGCCTGTCAGTAGCCCCTAAGGGGCCTCCTGGATGTGCCTATAAAACGTGTGATCAAGGCCGCTACATTGATGTTGAACACTGCCATCCCCCTCATACAACAACAACGACCCCCATTCTGGTATTCTGCCAACAGCAACAGCGAGCTTTCCCGCCAAAGCCTGTGTACCCCACGCCAATCAACATGAACATTACCTACTGGTTTCCTCCTGCTCCTGACACGCCGTTGCCCAGTCCTCGGCATCATCAACTCTTGCTTTGGAGGTGTTACCCACATGACCGAACTGGGAGTCGCATTTTGTCAAGGTTTATGACAATTTGATGCCGGCGTTCAGGACTCACACCACCACCACAGAGCCTAGGCATGCACACAATTGTGGAAGCTCGTGTACGGAATTGGACCATCCTCATTCTTCATTTTTAGCCCTTCACCCTTCACCACTGTCTGATTACTGCTGGCATACTTGGAGTGGTTCCATCACCGACAGCTGACCGCTGTTCTCTCTTCTTCTTTGCCATTTCCAAGCCCATTAGTTTGCTGAATCTGCTTCTCCGGCAATTCTACGGTATTACCTTCAAGAATTCAAACCGCAGAAGTGCACAATTGACACCGTCAGGTTCCCGCCGGACCATGGCTTTTGTATAAATGCGCAATGCCTACGCTAAGTGAATTCAGACAACAACTTGTAGCCAGAGCAATGGTGAATTTTGACTCAGATGAAGACGGCTCTGCGAACCAATCAGAGCCTGAGTTTGGTTACAAGCTTCCTCCACCTCCACCACCTCACACATCTCCCATTGAGCTGTGGCGGGTATGTACTCGAGCCAACTCCAATGTTTCGGCAGCTAATCATTACCACCTATAGGCTTTGGATTCTTACAGCACGAGTATGCAAAACATGTTGCTGAACTGAAACTTGCCAAGCAGGAAAAGGCTGAGCTTCGCAGCAAGCTCCGTGAAAAGAAAAAAAGTCGAAGAAGTCATCCTCTGAGCCCGTCAGTAGTATCCCCAGCATGGCAATTAGGACATTTGGGAAAAAATTCTGCATCATGTCAGAGCTTTTTCTCAAAACAAGTGTATCTATCCGGTCCTTCGTCAAACCTGTGGCGAACCGTGCCGACGCGGACAGTGATGCATGTTACACTTCATTTGCTAGCTACAAAAATGGGTGCATGGCAGAATTCTTCGCAGCACTCCCAGAGGAACAGCATGATGATGCTTCAGGTAGTAATGGTTATTTTCAAATGGTGAGCCGTGGTTGCCCACATTCCATCAAACATTATTCTAACTAATAAATACAGCTTAAAGTGGCAGTCAGCGCACAACGGTCCTCTGCTGTTAGTCAAATCAGATTGAACGGCTCTTGGTTGTTTGCCGGGTACAACTTGCCAGATATATTGTGGAGCACTGACAACGGGGCTGGCCGTCTTGCTTCGTTAGAACTGCAATCAATGCTAAAGTTCCCGAATGACACAGTCCAGTACCCTCACCTCGCATCCATTCTCTATTCTGATCTCAAGCAATCCAACACGGGGCTTTTCCAGAATCCTGTCCTTCCGCAAGTGAGTCCCACTGGGGGCATGTCGTGGAAATTACGGCCCAGGAAGTGGTTTGATGGCTCCAGATTTGGAATGTGAACGATTAGAGAGGGAAGTAGTGGTGGAGGGGGCGGCTGGCAAGCCACATCACCTAGAGCACATCTATCAGCAAGTCAAATGGTGAATCAACAGTACTCACCCGCACCTGATCCTTCTGCATGTGCAATCAGTGCCAGGGTGTCACTCTCCACTCTCTGCTGCCTGATCTTGTCTGCATTCTCTAAGTCCTGCTTCTCCTTATCACATTGTCTATGATGAGACGATAACCCAGCATTATTTGTGCAAGTAAGATTGCAGTTTGGACAGTGGATGACCATGTGGAATGGCGGTGGATGGATCCAAGGCAGATGAGGAAGGTGGTGTGGGAGGAATGATCAACAGGGAGCCTGATCAACAATGGAAGGAGGTTGAGCATTGTTAAGCCAGGTTATTCAGAACCTACCACTCACCTTGGTGGTTTCTGACTAGTTCGCTGCTTCGGGGGGCGTGCAAGAGATATGGGCTCTTGGTGTGCCTTGGAAGCGATGTGGGGTCTTAGAAGAAGACCTAAACCCTGACACATTTGATGTCTCTGATGATGACTCAGAAGGTTCACACGGTTCATCGCCAAGCGCTCATAAGGCGCCAGCCTTGGAAGGCAGATCCTCAAAGTTCGGACATAAAATCATGGAAAATATGCCAATTGACTCCTTTTAATTAGCTCATGTTGATCCTGTCAAAATCTTGGACTTCTCTTGAGCCATTTCTGAGGAAAATATTCATATTTCTCAGCACTTCATAATGGGAATCCTCTTAGAAGAGAGGCTGGTATGTGTAAGGGCATCCTCAAGATGGCCGATAGTGCAGGCCTAGCAGAGGGAGAATCCAAAGAGATGAATAAGACTAACTACAATACATGAGAGAGCTGCTCACCTAGCAGAGGGAGAATCCAAAGAGAACAGGATAAGGATTCTCCATGCCAGGAAGCAAAGTATATACTGTAGTAGCATGAGAGGAATGCAGGATAACTGTACAGTACACCAGCCACAAGTCCGAACGAATATCACAAGGTACGAGGAAACATGTGATAATGAAGTGAAGGGTAAATGCACAGGAGTCGTGCCAGCGACTTGGGGAAGTAAGAGCGAAGAGTAATGAAGTGGGGAAAGAGGATAGAGGTAGCCCGGACAAGCCCCAAAGTGTATATACGAGTCTGAGCAAGTCCGAAGTGCGGGAAGACTCCAGAGTCACTGGTGTCATACCAGAACATAGGTTCGGTATAAAGACATTAGGAATTAGGATGTACCCCTGAACCCCTAGGAGCGAAGCCCCTAGGATATTATCCATTGTTGGGTTATTGTTCTATCTTCCCATTGATGTTCGTTCGTCATGGAAATTTATCATAGAAACCTGTAACAATGGATTCTATTGTTCTATGTCTCCGTATAATTCGCTGTGGAAATTACTAATAATGGTGTCCATTGTCCCTCTATTATTCCATTGTATACATATATTTATTCTATTGTTCCAACAAGGCATTGTTCATCTTGTCCATTGTCCTACCTCTATTATACTACTGTGTACTATTATTTGTCCTATTATTCCTGTAGGCCTTTGTTTCTTAAAGACCATTGTTCCCCATATTTATTTGTATTTACCTCACTATTCCTACCATTGTTCTTAGGTACAAATAGTTTAGGTATAAAAGGGAGCTAGTCTCTCTGCCAATATATATACAAGTTATCACCCACATTCTAGTTCTTGAGGCTGTATCTGAAACGAGTAGGATACCAGCATTACAGTTTGTAGCAGACTGTAAGGGGACACTCCTATTTTCTCTCCTTTTCTTCATCCCATGGACTCTTACCTACATTTCCTTTGTTCCCCTTTGTTCCTTTTCGCTCCCTTTCCTTTCCACTTCCTTTCCACCCACTCCTTTCGCATCCGAGCCATGTCCGGTGACTCCGGAGTCTTCCCGCACTTCGGACACTTCGGACTTGCTGGGACTCGTTTCGGACACTTCGGACTTGCTCGGACTTGTCTATACTCTTCGGGGCTCGTCCGGGTTCCCTCTATCCTTTTCCCCCACTTCATTACTCTTCGCCCTTACTTCCCCAAGTCGCTGGCACGACTCCTGTGCATTTACCCTCCACTTCATTATCACATGTTTCCTTGTACCTCATGATATTCGCTCGGACTTGTGGCTGGTGTACTGTACAGTTATCCTGCATTCCTCTCACGCTACTACAGTATATACTTTGCTTCCTAGCATGGAGAATCCTTATCCTGTTCTCTTTGGATTCTCCCTCTGCTAGGTGAGCAGCCCTCTCATGTACTGTAGTTAGTCTTATTCATTATCTTTGGATTCTCCCTCTGCTAGGCCTGCGCTGTCGGCCATCTTGAGGTTGCCCTTACACAGACCTGAAAAGTAAGTATGGTCTATTTCTTTTGCTAAGTCTGCACCGAAACGAGTAGGTGACAGTAACGCACTAACAGCTAAGTCTGCACTGAAAACGAGTAGGTGTCAGTAACACTATTTTGACAGTTTGACTATCCCGAAACGAGTAGGGAAACCCTTTACAAGTCCAGATCTGAAACGAGTAGGATTCTGGCATACTAACCTCGGTTTATTAGCTATCTAGTGTTATGGTCCGGTCCGTTCCGAATACTATCTTTTTCGATATCTTATCTAAACGCGCAGGACGCGCCTATTACTAATTCACATTACGGTACCTTAGTAAGATCCTCACGCATAACACATGTCCGCAGTACATTACCAAGCATCCTCATGGAATCGGTGCGCGTTCCATGGAAAGACGGCTGCAGTAGGCATGTAGTAGTACATGAGGGTTACGCATGTATTTTAGTATTTAAGTACCAATAACAGCCCCTAGAACGCTAGCTCGTTCTCTTGGGATTTCCACTAGTAATAGTGAGAACTAAGTCAACTAAGCTACTTCATCTATTCCTTTGGTTTTAGTATTCTTGTAGGAGCCACGTTGGTCTTTGACTAGTGTCGCCCTAACATCTAGTTCATTCCATAGGTTTATTATATAGACCTATAACCCCGTATATACTTGCTACTTATCGTACAAGTAGATACACCACCACACCCCTATCTACTTAGGAGTAGTATTGTTGATTGACATACTATTTCTAATAACCGACCTCACCCTATCCATACCCTTCTGAGAGTATTTCCTCTATTCCAATAATCCCGAAATCAATGAACGACCAGGTGCAACTCGACGCAGTAGTCCACGACCATCTGGGCACTAATTCATTAACCTGACTTAGTGTGACACCGGATGTGACTTGGATGCGAAAGGAGTGGGCGGAAAGGAAGTGAAAAGGAAAGGGAGCAAAGGGAAATGAAAGGGAACGAAAGGGATGTAAGTAAGAGTCCGTGGGATGAAGGAAAGGAGAAGGGAACGAGGAGGAAGGGAGAGGGACAGGGGAATAGGAGAAAATAGAGGTGTCCCCTTACAGATGGTGACAACAAGACAGACAACGACAATGAGCTGGCATTTGATGATGATGAAGCAGATGATCATTGCTAACATGCTTCTTAGTCATCACTTCATATTAGGCAGTATGATGTGTGATGTGACCGTCCCACTAACGTGGGAATGGTCTGATAACAACAATTTTGACTGATAACAAGATCCTAGTAAATATGGCCCAATACTGCGCTGATTGTTGGTGCACTATCCAACAGAACATAGAGATGAACATATACCAATATTTCAGTTTACTCTTAGCTCTGTTGTCCTTCATTCCGAAGTCAACTTTCATCTTTGCATCCCACTGAATGGGGAAACACTGTAGTTGCAAGCAGGATTGTTGGTTCCGAGCACTTTTCCCATTCAGTGGTACCTTCCTAAACGGGGTTGAACACTACTTGGAGAATCAACATGTGAAGTTCAATTACTTCATTGATGGTTCTTGTTTGGCCTACATTGCACCAATGTACAAGTGTTCAGTCTAGCGAGACTCTCCGGACTGCTCTGGCTCTTGTGCGGATCCGCGAGACAGGCAGTGTTCCGATTCCGCGACCTCTAGAGCGCAACGAATCTTCGATTTTCGGTTTCGCTGGATTTCTTTCTAAGTTCCAAGTCCGCTAATAGACCCTCACATCACGTGATCTCGCGACTGCAGCTACTCAATCATATTGAACGCCTTTGATTTAGCACCACCAAGTGCCAGCAATTCTTGAATACCACGATTTCAATGCCGCCAAGGACGCGCCGAGCGGCAAATCAAGAGAATGCAGGCCCGCCGCCAGCCTCTCCCGTTCTAACGTCGAAGAAACGAAAAATCGCCACTGAACCTGAACCTACACCACGCCCGAGTCGAATCCTGCAAGATATAACGTCGCAGTTCATCGAACCCGGTGCGCATTCAGGAAAATTCACGGCTCTCGTACACTGATTGCTCTTTTGCGGTTGCTAGAGCTGGTTGTAGGAGGATCGAAGCAGACAGTGTCAAAGGAGGAGCCTCAGCCACCACCCCGCAAACGCAGGGCAAGGGCGCCGATTGGACGGTTTGCCAAGCGTCAACAGCTGGTGGGGCCCTCCCACCATCCCGCCATCCCATCTTCCCTTCCGCCCTCGTCGCCCCCGTCCGAATCATCTCGTTTCGATGTCATAAACCAAGCCTTCGCCGGCCCTCGCTTTACCCGGAATCGCAGTCCCAGTCTTGAATACGCGGACGAGAACGAGAATGCGGATCCTTTCTCCGAATCGCTGGACTTGCTGCCTGCAGCCGCATCGAGCAACCAGGCAGATCCGTTCGGCTTTCTCGCGGTGGAGAGCAGGCTGAGGGCCAAGAGAGAGGCGGCGCAGCCGTTCCATGTCTTGACTGACCTCGACCTCCCTGTGGACGACGATCACCCCACGCCTCACCCCGATACGTTCGAGGACGACAACGACGAGAACGCCGTGCCATTGGGCGTCCCATCCACGCCCCATAAGCGCAAGAAGCACATCAGATCTATGGTGGCTGCGTCTACTTCGCCGACCAGCGCCGCGTTGTACAACCCCAGCCCGCAGTCGACGCCATCCCCGTCGAAGCCGCGGCGCTCGCTTGCCAAGGGGAACCAGTCGCCGGTGGATTCTTCGGAGAGCGACCTGGTGCTCAGTCGGCCTCCGATCGCCAGCGCAGCTAGACGTGCGCGAATCACCGCGCACGAGGAGAATGCAAAGGCACGGAAGGAAGCCCGCGCGCCGAAGAAGTCTCTTACGCCCAGGACGCTGGGCAAGAGCCTGGAAGCACTGTTGCCGAAGAGGGTCACCCGTGCGCGGGCGGCGAGCAGCAAAGGGAAGGGGAAGGGGAAGAGGGGACGCGAGGCTGTGAGTGACGACGAAGAGGACGACCCCTCGCCGCGTAAGACGAAGAAGCGGGCCATCGTGGCTAAGAAGCCGACGTCGAAAGCGAAGGGCAAGGCTAAGGCTACAGAGGTTGAAGATGAAGAGATAGATGTTGATGGTGCCCAAGAGGTGCGTATCTATATTTCTCTCTTTCTTTCTTTAGGACGCTCATCGGTCGGATTAGAAATTAAAACAAGAGCGGCAGGCGCGCTTGGAGTACTTCAAGAAGCTCGACTCCTACAAGGTCGAGGAAGAGAATGTCTATGTTGTCTAACCACTTATTTTTTCCTTCATCTCTTCACAATTACGACTTTAACGACACCCGGGAGCGCCGATCGATCGATCATCTATGTACAGAAGTAATATCCGATAGGTAATACTCAAGTCGCTATGTTTTGGTTTCATGATGAATATAGTATAAGCTATGCCAAATGCTGTCTACGCTACTGCTGTTTCTTTCTTCTTGTGTTTTCGCCTTCGTTTGTTTACGGGTGCGTCGATATCGTTTCCCTTGGTTTCTTCCACCACCTCCGCTACATCGTCTGCCCGTTTACGCTTCCCTTCCTCCTTCACTGGCGTTACTTTGATTGCTTCGCCATCCTTGCCATCCTCCTGTCCTTCCCCCAACCCTTTCATCTTCATACGCTCCTTCTTCCCCTTCCTCTTCTTCACCGCCCGCTCTCCCACTCCCGTTCCACCTGTGCGCCTCTCCCTCGCGCCGTCCTCCCCGAACTTCATGCCCGTCCGCTCAGCAATCTTGCGGCGCAGCTCTTTCAACTTTTCGTTCCGCGTGTTATCCCACCGTTTTGGACCCGTCCGGTAGGGCGCGTACTTTTTGATGCTCATGAACTCGTTGAGCTCGGCATCCGTGGCCATCAGGATTTCGGCGGGGGTTAGTGCGAAAGCTTCGGGTTGGATAGGTGTGTATTTGAAACGCGTGGGCAGGTCGCCGACCTAAGGGGTTGGGGAATGAATGAATTGTTCAATGAGTGAGCGAGGGGTATGGGGCAAGTTGAAAAAGCTACAGACCAAGTCGTTGAACTCGAGCCCGTAGATCTCGTCCATATACTCATCCAGCTTCTTCTTACGCATCTCCTCTGTCCCGTCCCATTCCTCTTCCTCCTGCTTGACGTCGGCGTCCATCAGATCCATCGGCACGCCTTCGTCAATCGCATCATCATCAACATCAGCGTCTTTCTTCTTCCCTTTCTTCTTTTTCTTCTTTTGCTGACTCGTAGAAGCTTCGGGTTGGTCGTCCAGAGGAATGTCGCCGATATCGATGTCGTCGTCCCAATGCGGCTTCTCTGCATCCCATTCGTCGTCTCCCTCGCCGTAGATACCAGCCATCTGCCTGTCATGCGCATCCGGGTCCCATTCACCTTCGAGGTCCAGCTCCTGCAAAGCTGACCCAACAGTCAATAAACACAGTAATGTCAGCGGGGAAGGGAAAGAATCACACCCTCGGTGGTATCGACGTCCTTCCCGCCCTCCTTGCCAATCCGCTCGAGCTTTTTCCTTATTTCCTTCATCTTGAGCGATTTGAGGCGTTTGATCTCCTCGCGCTTTTTTTGGAGTTCTTCTTCCTTCCGTTCCTTCTTGCGCGCACGCGCATCCTTCCGAGTCGTATCCTCACGCCGAACTGTGGACTCGAGTGTACGGGGGAAGGTCTGGATGGTCGCAGCGCCTCTGAAGAGCGATACAGCAATAGCAATAGTAAGGACCCAAGAGAAACCTATCAAACGTGGGGGTAGGTACGCACGGTTCCTCGAATCGGAAGTTGTAAGAACTCTCGAATCGATCGACGATATCCTCGAATTCCTCTTCATCAAGGTCGTTATTTTCATCATCGCCATTCTCCGACGCCGAGCCGGCAGAGTCGTGGAGCTCCGCCGCCTTGCCTTTACCCTTGCTCCGCGATGATTGGGATTGAGTGATTTCCCCGTACGTCGGGACGCGCTTGGATTCGCGGTCGATCCATCCGCGGTTCAGGATGTAACTAGGAACTTGGTAAGTATACAGCTCAACGTGAGGGCATAAGAGACTTACTTCATCAAGAATTCTTGGTCGGCTTCTTCCTTTGGCTTGTCTTGAGCGGCGGCACCTTTCGATTTCTTGGACTTCTTTTTCTTGCTCTTCCCCCGCGTCTCCTCCGGCCGACCATCGTCCTCTTCCTCTTGTGCCATCACGCCTGCCTCTACAGTCACCAAACCAGCAAGATCTGGCCCGACCTCCCGCTCCAGGAAAGTACGGTATTCCTCCTCTTCCTGCTCGAGCTCATCCTTCGTTTTGCTGCGAGGGACGAGCAGATCGTCGCTTTCATCCCCGGACGCGACGCCTTTGAACGCGGCGATTGTTTCCTTGCGGAGGACTTCCTGCTCCTGCACATGCGTGAGCGGTTCCGGGGACGGCGACCGCGAATCGGGGTTGAGTGCTTCCTCAAGCGCAACTTGTCGCAGTGTCACGGGTTTAGACTACAGAGAAAGGGAAAACAACGACAACGAGGAGCTTCGAAATCAGTTTGCGGACGAGTCTATGAGGTGTGGGCACGAACGCACTCACTTTGTCTTTGCGCGCACTCTTCTTGATGGTGGTAGAAGATATTTTCTGCTTTTCCTCTAAATAGAAAGTAGATATTGAGTACATGAATAAGAACATAAGGGTGTGCCGAAATCAATACCTTCGAAGACGTCCTTCCCAGAATTGTATATTTCCGGGTCCTTTCTCTTAATCCGTGCTAGAGTTCGGAGGATTGCCGCGTCCACGGCTGGGGTCAGCTCCTCCCCCTCTTCATCTTCAGATTCTTCGCTCTCGGAGTCAGTCTCCTCGTCCCCTTCCTCTTCGAAATCTGATCCATATTTTTCCTTCACTGCAGTATATGGGGTTCAGGTAGAGTCGAGGTAAGTAATAATAACCTTCACGCACATTTTTGGAGTTCCTCTCTTTCCTTCTTGTATTCGAAAGCTTTCGCGTAATGCTCATTAATTGTAAGCTGGACGTCCTTCTCTACATCGGAGTCCGAGTCTGAGTCGAACATGGTAAACTCTGGAAAAATTACAAGTGAACGCAATGGTCGAGGTGATTTGGAGGTCTATTTGGTTCCAGGGCTATCGATCAACAAACATGAGGGTCAGGGATTGGGGAACTTCATGAATTGTGATGCACCCATGTCCTCTCACTCTACGCAGAAGGATGCCGAGGTGCGCAACTATCGTTATTATGCATAACCGAAAGAGACTAAGGACGCGTGCTCAGGCGACCTACTCCAAGGCTGCGAAAGCAGAGCTTTCCGGAGCCTATGATAATGCGTATAGGCTATACATCAACGCGGCTCAATCCTTCCTTCATCTTAGCCGCCAGGGCGACACAGAGAAGGATAAGTGGACCAGCAATGCACGAAAGTGCGTGGAGAGGGCTGAGAAAATCAAGGCCTTTATCTCCAAAGCGAAAGCTTCAGATGATGCGGCGGCTGGTGCAGATATGTCCCTGACGCCGGTAGATATTGATTACTTCTCCCCATGTGCGCACCGATCCACAGAGATTATGGCAATAATGCCTCACCTGTTTATTTTAGATGAACAATCATTCATACTCCAGCGTGGCGCCAGAGTTAATGGTCTCGTATTTCCTTCATGGGATGATTCGCCTCCCACAGAGGGTGGCCATGTGGCTTCCTCCACTCTATATGAGTGAGAACATGTCATATCCTGAGAGCTTGTTGATTAACGCACGGCTTAGAGATTCGGATGGTCAGCCGCGCCTCTCGGAGGAGCAACTTAAAGCATCCCCGGTTTGGCGACGCGCGGCCGGTTCTGCTGCATCTATAAATCAGGAGAGGTCGAGATTGCTGCCGCAAGATATTCTACAGCAGATCGTCACTGACTGCTCAGTCTGTGCATCTATATCAGTATGCTTGGAACATACCAACAGATTTGGGTCTAATGTATGTCCAGTCGGTCAGGTCAAACGGCCGTGGCTTATGTTCTCTTCAATCAACAGCTTCTTAAACAATGTTTCCATGCCGCCCCTTCGTCAGGGGCAACGAAAGGACGGCACGACCTCAAGCTGTTTTTCAATGGTGCATGGCGGCGAGTCAGATTTTTTAACCTCTCGTACCCTTCTGGGACCTCATCTAGCCACAGATAGGTAATGGCTCGATATCAACATGCACGCGTACTTACTCACAGCGGATCAGTCATTGACAATACGCTGCCATATCACCATCGCTCTGGAGCTCTCTTGTGCATGTCTACGACACCCTATACCATAGATGACTGTGATGGGACCCAGAGGTCTGGACCGGTTCTGTGGCCAAGTTTCCTGGAGAAAGGCGCAAGTGCTTTATTTAACGTGTTGAGGCGAAACTGAGATATTTTTGCTAGTATATGAAGTTGATGGGCGGCTACGACTTCCCCGGATCGTGAGTACAGCTTGTTTGTTTAGCGGATCCGTTTGATATTGACGATTCTCAGGAATTCCACCATTGACATTCAGTGGGTTCAAAGACTATATAATGTGATGGCAAGGTTTACTATTGTCTACGCAGTGCTCTCACCGGTTGGATTCCCGAACATATCGAAATCAAGAGGTCCGTCCGTTCATCCGTCTTTTGACTTCCATTGTTGCTTATCAAAGGCTAGCCCTGGCTTTGAGCCCGAGAGAACTTGGGGCCGTATCTCCGACGGATTTTTCAGCGGTAGGACATATAGCGCTAGGGGCCTTCACTCTTCTTATTGGTCTACATATAGGTCGCTGTATACTAACCCTTGGAACCGGGCCAACGGAGTATGCGTACTGGCAGGGCTCTGAGCTCCTCGGTTCGCATAGCTATGCTGTGATTGGTACGAACGCGACAACCCACCCACCACAGATTAGTTGATTCATTGCTTGATTGTAGATGTACGCGAAGATGGAGATTCTCGGTCTTTAGTTGTTCTTGACTCTTGGACACCGTCTGAAGACGAGGCGGGTAGTAAATCCAGTCAGCTCTTATCTACTTTCTGTTTCCGTCATACACTTTTCTCTGACTTTGACGCACTTCTTAGAGACTTTGGAGATTCCTTGGATGGACGTACTGGAAGTCTTCGACGGTATATATGTTAGCTGGGATCCTTCGATGTGGGAAAGTCAGCTCAATTTTCACGGGTAAGGATGTTTATGCTGAGTGTCCCGCTGTGGATAACTGACGATATGGTAGGATGTGGAAGAGGCGAGGTGAAGATGATCAAGGTCGGCAGCTCCAAGTACAATATAATGCTCATAGCACCCTAACGCCCTGTAGGCAATACTCGACATCTGCAACTTCTCTTCGAAACAGAGAAAGGTGGCGACATGGGAGATGAATCTGACGAAATTTGGATATTGTTGACTCGTCATTTGTACAAGACAAACCAAACATCGGAGTATATTTCCGCTAAGGTCGATATCGAAGATGTTCTAGCGTCACAAACGTCGAGTTCCATAGACCTCGACAGGGTTGCTGTAAAGGTACTTCCCATTCCTTCGTCCTTTCAGACCTAGCTGATGGCCCTGTCCTATAGGGGACCTATACTAACAGCACGCACGTTCTCGTATGTGGATCACCTAATGGCGGAGATACTAGTCTTACTTTTGCCAGGTGCGGACGCGCATACCTGCGACACAACGATCGGGTGCATTGTCGATATTCGTTTCTTACGACGGTCCATCTTCCGAGATCGGCTACAGCGTGACAGCGTATTCACATAGGACCATCTCGTGGGGGAAGAGTGCTGTGAAACCACCCTTTTCAACGACAGTCAGTAGCTCTTGCCGTTCTTGGTGGGCCACTCACAGTGTTATCAGGTTAAAGGGTCCTTCATTCTCAAGAACTCGGGTGGAAACTGCACTTATCCATCCTACATGACCAACCCACAGTATCACCTTAGGGTCCATTCCTCGAAGCGGAGTCAGAATGAGAAGTCTAATGTCATGCTTTCTATGCACACCTCAAAAGATATTCCTATCAATGTGACCGTCGTCTGGTCTCAAGGAGAAAGAGTCATGGAGTGCGTATTCATCATTTCCAAACCGCGGTTGCTGACTCTCATTACATCAGATTGACTCAAACCGAGGTGGTCATGAACTCTGGTGCTTATAGCTATGGTTCTGCTAGGGTGAACAAAGAGCTACTAGGTGGATCTCCTTGAGAAAGCTCGTTCGACGGAGTCACTCACAGTACTTTCGGCTAGCCGGCGATTATACTGTCATCCTCTCAGCCTTTGAGCCTCGCTATCTGGGGAGCTTCTCCCTCAAAGTCGACGCTTATAACAGTATAGACCTACGTCCGATCGAACAAGAAGGAGCAGGCATGTACAGTAAACCTATGCGAGGCGCATGGTAATGTCTCCTTCATCTTTTGACAGTGGTGGTCATCTGATTTCTACTGAGGGAGGAACACAATGCTGCGGGCGGTCCCAGCTTCAAGCAGTACCTGAACAATCCCATCTTTGAATTAACTGTGTCGGAAACAACGCAGATAATGTATGTCTACGCCAAATTCCGGAGATTAGTCACTCAGTGTTTCCCCTTCCAGGATTCGCCTCCAGTTATCGCGACCATCGGCAGGAGTACCAATCAATGTTACCATATACCCCGCACCCGCATTAGGCCAATATGTCGCGACGTCTGGCGCTTATAATGATTCGATTGCCGGAGTGGTCACCCCCCAAGTATCTCTGGCGCCGGGCACCTACTGGATAATACCTTCAACTCATAGCGCTAGTGTGCAAGCCGCGTTCAAGCTTGTCATCTACAGCACGACAAACACCATTAGTATCGTTGAGCGGAAGAGTTCATTGCATACCGTCCTCTAGCGAACTCCGCGGGAGTTAGGAGGTATTCGTTCACTCGTTTCAAAGTTGCCCTAGAGGGATTTGCTTGTGGCCTGCTAGCGACTATCCACTCTAATCGTGTCCGAATCGTTTGTTTATTCCCTGCTAATTCCAAATCAGTTACACGTGGACATTGGGATCCAGCGAGCGTTACCATTTGACCCCTCGAAGATGGGTGTGCCATCGTCATCGAAGTACTTCTGCGAAGCTGCCAAAGCTATTCCGACACTAATATCTTTGCCCGTCTCGCAAGCGATGCATACTTTGCGTCCCTGCTTGAGTTCGCGTCCCACGAAGCCCATAGCACGAGGCAAGATATCTTTAAGGAACTGGTATTGTCCCCTTTTCCCACTAGCGACATGGAGATGCAAGACCCCTCCTCCATCACTTGGTTGCGCTGGTTGAGCCTCGATGTCTTGGGCTTTCGAGTCGGCAGTAACAAGTAGGTAAGACATGTTGTCTTCCTGATCAATTCCTCCACTCGGTTGAGACTGCAGATCGGCGAGAGCACATATCAATATGCGTCCACGGAGGTGGGATATGGCAGTGGGGGGCGACTTGTTCGACTCGGTTGGAGACGGATTCATCACGAGCGATTCCACAAGGCCTGATAAATGAGAGCGAGGTGTATGCAACAATTCTTTGCGATGCCGCCAAAATATGGCTGGCGTCAGACCCTGAAGATAGGTCACGTAGTTGTCAATTGCAGCCCTCACACAAAAGTTTGGATCATGACTCACCATTCCCCACAGCTCATGATCGTCGCCAGAGCCTTGAACGTATGAGAACCCGCCGCCCCGTCGTTCAATCGCATCACCGATCTGCTTAGATGCCGAAATACAGATTACAGGACAGAACCTTCCTGATCCCGGCGATGGTAAGGATGGGAACGATGATGCGGAAGGAGTAATCCACATCGGACGCAGAGGGTTTGGAAGTTTGGGCAGTTCGTAGGATGAATTCTATCTCAATCTTGCGTTAGATGTTAACTACTGGTGCCGTCATAGTGTATATGCTTACGGCTAAAGAAATGGACCATTCGTCCAGCCGTAGTTCAATGGCACGATGCTCTTGAGTGCTCACGACATGAGGAGGAGTGTAAAGCTTGACATCCCATGAATCTGGTAACTCGGGGTATCGAATCTTCATCGCACGGTTGATGACAGCGCACCAGATAGGTATGGTCTTCGAAAGCGCATCTGGCATCCGCTTTCCAGATCGCGTGGAATCTACCAGAGCAATTCTGGTGAATTATGATGAGAGACATTGCTGAGGGAAGGTGTATTCGAGTCGCCTTTCTTACCCTTCATGCTCAGCAACTAGCTTTAGTAACTGCAAGTTCGCTCGCCGTAAGTTGAAGCTCCAGTTATTGAAATGGCCATCGGTGGACTTGAAGTACGCCGGCGAATCGTACGCCTACCAACCTTTCAAACTTGATTTCTTTATAACAGAGGAAAAACTTACGATCTCCGGATCGGTATACCACGCGCCGCATCTCAAATTAGCTATGGAAGGAAAACGCTTATAAGTCACAGATCTTAAACCAGATTCCAGATGTTAACTCTTACGGAGGAATGGAATATCATGTTCGGAATACGCTTCATGCACAAGGTGGACGAATTTGATGTCCTCTTCAATGGAATGAAGCCGATTATAGATATCGAGCGACTCTTTTCGGATGTACTCAAGGGCCTCTTTGGTCTCTTCACGATTAATGAAGGACATCACACGTAGTGGACGTGAAAAGGACGCGAATGAAAACGATCAAGGAAGTAAATCCACGTGTCGGAGTATTCACATCAGGAGAATCAGTGCGCGCAATCCTATAGGGGCAATATACATTTAATTCCGTTTTCGATGGCCCCTAGGACAGCCTAGGACTCAGCCTGAGGCATCTGGCGAGTCAGTCCGGGGCAGCCGCATGTGAAAATATCCGAATGGTCCTCACTGCCCCGGAGTCGCTCCGTTAACGTCGCCGGTTATAAACTCAAACCCCATCGTATGTTTTTGCGATGAGCTGATTGCCACCTATTGATTCGGTCTTAAAGCCCACAGATCATCAACACGAAATCATGCTGGGTTCATCGATGTACGCTCTGAGGCTTCAGCGGGTGGAATTGAAGCACGCTTCCCGGAACGGAATCTTTCGACGGTGGATGAGCGTTCGTCCACAGGATATTGGCATCTCCGAAGGTAGATAATGCTGCCCCTATCTTTCAGTCTTTCGCTAACATCGCCATCCAGTTCGCAAGAAGGTCACCATCCAGTCGTTATACCAAAACAAAGCGAATGGCACTCCGATATCAATGCTCACTGCGTATGACTACCCAACGGCAGTCGCATGCTCATCGCACCCGGTCGATATCACTCTGGTGGGCGATTCACTGGCGCAAGTGTGTCTCGGATATCCCTCGACCACCCATCTATCTGTTGCCGAGATGATTCACCACACCCGAGCGGTCGCCCGAGGCACGACACACCCTCTCCTTATTGCCGATATGCCCTTCGGATCATATCATACGGGCATCGAAGACGCTCTGCGAAATGCAGTACGCATGGTCCAGGACGGACACGTCGAGGGTGTAAAGATGGAAGGGGGGCAAGAACTCACTGAAATTGTCCGACGTTTATCCTCAGTAGGCATCCCCGTAATGGCACACGTCGGGCTACTTCCCCAACGACATATTGCAATGTCCGGGTACAAAGTGCAAGGTCGCGACCGAAATGGCGCCAAACGCATCTTGGCCGATGCCCTCGCTCTGCAAGAAGCAGGCGCCTTCTCGATAGTATTGGAAGCCATACCGAAGGAACTCGGAAAGTACATCACGGAGAAACTGGAGATTCCAACGATCGGCATCGGTGCAGGCCCGCATACCGACGGACAGGTGAGTTGTGCTGTTGCTCCGGTGAGATGGGTTGCCGGGTGTTTAGATATGTTATCTTTGTAGGTGTTGGTTTGGGACGACATGATGGGCACGTGGAATGGCCACAAGGCCAAGTTCGTTCGCCGATTTGCAAACGCTAAGCATGAACGGGACAGTGGCGTCGAAGCGTACTGTGAAGCCGTTAAATCCCGCTCCTTCCCCGACGAGAACACCGAAAGCTACTCTCTGGACAAGAACGAATGGGCCCAATTTCTGGAAGATCAGAAGTCACAGTGATCTGTGTAACCGCTACCCCCGAGGAAGCTGATGTGGTGGTTGAACTTATCTTTATTGAATGGTGCGACAAAAGTGCGATTATCTTTATAATCTTCTACGCAGACTACCACTATCTGTACATCTATAATTGGTCAATGGTAATAGCAGCGCGATGACGTCCACAGGTCCACACCCGGTGGTTCCCTGAGCTTGAACAAAGTTCTTTCGGGTTGATTCGCTACCACAATGTGCTTTATCGACCACGACGAACAACCTGACATGGACGACGCCAAAGGTGTTTTCGCTCAGTGAGTGCCATTTTTGGAGACAATGACATACGTACTGAGTTCTCGATATAGCTTCATGGTTGGAAATACATACGTAGGTCGAATACTGCGACAAGAGGTGCAAGCAATGCCTATCTGATTGGACAGCCCTACGTCCTGCGGGACTGGACTGAAGACATCGAACTCGCAATTCTACATCATTTGTAAGTGCTGAATAGCATACTACTTTGTAGTGTTACTACAATGTGTTCTAGGGATGGCTTCGTTCTCAATATTGGTTCGGAGGATTGGCAGAAAGATCGAGTCGCTGACTGCTTTCAAGCAACCGAGGCACCTGGCTCGTCCTCCTTCAAGCTCTTCTTCTCATTTGACATGAGGTCAGTGTTAACGCCTGCTCTGGTTCAGTTCGCTTCAAGTAACGTTGCTCATTCACATTCAGTGTCATTCCCTGCAAGACGCAAGGAGATATGCAGCATCTGCTGGAGTACATAAAACGATGGGGGAATCACCCAAGCATGTACCGCCAAAACGGTAAGGTCCTAGTATCTACTTTCTCCGGGGAGAACAGTCTTTTCGGCTTCGGCGACATGGGGGCTGCGTGGAATTTCGTCAAGAAATCTTTGGAAGAAATAGTTCCCGTAAATAGTCCCGCAAAGTTTGAAGGCTTCTTCCGATGTCAACATTTACAGATATGTTTTATGCCTTCATTTTTCATCGATCCAGCCCGCTACGACAGCCTGCACTTCATGGACGGCGCCTTCAATGTATGGCCATTTATCGTTCGTTAGAATACCGCTCAATCTTGACCGCATTGTTACAGTGGAACGGGGGTTGGCCGCTCCACCTCTCCTCGGGTATGCCTCGTCAAGCGTTGGAATCATGCAAACTTGACACGGACGACCACCACTTGCGCTGCCTCGGGGGTCGCTCATTCATGGCGGCGATTTCTCCTTGGTTTTTCACCGTTAGTCTTCATAATTTAGGAATGACACTCGACTGACACCTCGGCCTAGCATTATGGTCCCGACACGTGGAACAAGAATGTGGGTGCTGATCATTTAGTCAGTGTCTGACCTCAATCGATTCACCCTCGCAGTGGATATATCGTGGCGATGACTGGCTGTTTGTGCGACGCTGGGAACAACTGATTGCAGCCAGGGATCGCATTGATATTGTCCAGATCATCTCTTGGAATGGTTCGTAACCCAGGCTCCTCAACTGCACGCATTCCTTACGCCGCGTCATCCCCTCTACAGACTACGGTGAAAGCCACTACATCGGACCCATCAAAGGAGCCCAACCAAACTCCCAAGCATGGGTAGACGGCTTCGATCATCTACCGTGGCTAAAGCTCGCCGGTTATTTTGCTCGCGCTTTCAAAGAGGGGGTGTATCCTCGAATTGAAGAAGATCAAATTTACATGTGGGCGAGGCCACATCCCAAGGATGCTGAAGCCGTCGATGATAAGGTTCCTCGTCCGAGAAACTGGGAGTTGGTATGTGCCGTACTTCTCTATCAGTGATAACATTGGCGTTGATCGAGGATCTTGGACAGACGGATGATACATATTGGGTTGTTGTGCTCGCCAAAGCTCCTGGAACGCTGGTGTTGTCTGATGGTGAAGAAGGATCGAGAACTATACAGGTGCCTGCAGGTGTGACCAAGGCCTCGCATCCATTGGAGTCCAGCAAAGGGATGGAGGCCCGCTTGTATAGAGGTGGGGATATGATTGCTTCCTGCAAGCCATCCGGATTCTGCTTTAATCCATACCCACCCGTTTACAATTTCAACGCCTTCGTTGTCGTAGCTACTTCATAGCATCTGCGTCGACTAGTGGACATGACCGTGACAAGATAAGGCTAGTCATATACCCTCTTTGACAGGTCGAACAACCTCTTCATAACGTCCTTGGAATCGCGAGTGAGGCCATTGTGAAAGAGTTGATTAGTGATGTATTGTTCGGTGTTCTTGATCTTCGCCGCTGTATCTTGGGCAAAGTTAAAGTCCACATACCTAGGGTCGCCAGTCAATAAACAACGATACAGCAACTTGACATAGTAAGTCACGTACATGTCCTCCATGTAGCTGGAACAAATTAGAACAGTCAGCACGACTAACGATAGGTGGTCTGGTGAATAACACACGTTACTGCAGAAACCTTGACTTCATTCCTTGCTAGTTGCTCAAGATCGTATAACGGACCCCAAGTACTGTCCCTGGCGAGAATCTCAGCGATACCTTTCAAGGGTCGAAGGTTGCTGTAGTCGTCGAACATGTCTGGGAAGATCTACCCCTTCGTTAGCGACTCAGTCTCCCCATCGATGTCGGCGCAGAATGGATATTCACCATTTCCCCAGCAAAGTACACTGGCTCATTCTCACCCAACTGATCGACTTTATTCCAGTGGAACTGATGGTGCTTCGCGAGAGCGCGAGACGCGGACCAATTAGGTGCAGTCCTACACCACCATGTCTTGATTAAAGGGAAAAGACAAAGGAGGGGGGAATGACGGACCCCTGGCAATATATTGGCTCATGCAACACAGCGTAGAGGGGGTTGCCATCGAGGCTTTGGCTATACTGGACTTTCTGTAGTGTCTTGTAAGATAAACGACCGAACATTTCCAAATCGGTGGACGCTCTGAAAACGAGCTCTGAACCATGCAGGGCGTCAGCCGTCAATGGCTAACTGGCAAGGAAAGAGCTTACGGTGAACCGCATCGATACCGCCTGCTCGAGGGGCGAGGTATTGATATTAACGGAAAATATACAACAGATATCTGCGTACCGTGCATTCCAAACGCAATACCTAAGTGCAACCATCTATTCGGCGTAAGACGTCCGCCATTGGGAAGCAGCAATTCATTCTTGCTGAGGTACGCTAGAATCTCTTTGACTCTCTTGATATCCTTTGGGTACTTCTGGTAATAGATCTTGTTCCTCTTGACAACTCTAGCTAAAGGTATCTTGAGCACCACAAATGCATCCATCCTATGTTACGAAACAGCAAGCTTACCTATCAGAGCCTCGTAGACGGGATCTGGACTATCCACTAAAGGTGCTAATCCTCCTGTTGTGAAAACTTCCTTTAATCCTTCAGGACGGAAAGAAAGATACGTAATGGCGCAGAACCCGCCAAATGATTGGCCCAGGATGGACCATTTCTGTTGATCCTCTGGGAGGTGACTCAAGAGAGACTTGCGGATGGTCTCACAATCATTAACTGCGTAATTTAATCAACTTGATAGTTAGATGAAGCCTCTATCCGAAACTGATAAATAGGCATCTTACCGATGCTATCAGCTCTGAAGAATTTAAAGTATTGAGCTTTTTCTTCATCGGTGGTGAGATGGCTGGGTAGTGTTTCGTAGGAGATGGCCGTGCTGAGCCCAGTACCTCGCTGGTCGAGCCAGAGTGTCTGGGGGCATCCTCGCGGTGATGAGTTATCTTTTTATGAGTGACACTGCTCAACCAACCTGGTAGCCTTGTTCGTGGATCTAAACATCGAGCTTAAGCATTTATACCACAGGAAGAGGCCTGGCCCACTAGCCAGCATACCTCTTTGGCAAATCCCGAATTACTTTGTAATTCGACTTCAAACCCTGGCCCTCCTAGACAACGAGACCCAGATCAGTATCGCAAACATCCACCAGCAGATAAGGCTATTTACCTTGAAGGAACACCACTGCAACACGAATAGTGCGTAGTCAGTGATTCTGTTACCAATGATCACTGAGGTAGATGATTGACAGAATGGCAGATCGTTCTTCTTCTCCCCCGCCCCGCCGGATTCCTTCCCGATTGGAACAAGGTTACGAGCGAAAACGCGTATCTTGGCTCCATCCGGGTTGCTGTAATCGAGCGGGACAGTGAAAAATCTATCAACGACCTTGATACCCTCTACAGCATTTCGTTTCGCTGTCAGTATGGGTGGGAGGTGAATTAGAATCCCAGTTCTGCTTGCCTTTGTTGCTGTAGGAATCGGTTTCCTCCATGGTGTCGATGAGCTTTTGATCAGTAGGCCAATTGAATAGGAATATTGAGGTAACCGTTGAAAGCTCAATTTCGATTTGAGAGGCTTCCTGGGAAGCTGAATCGATGGAATCAAGCCGGAGCAGCGTCACGGTGTGGCCGCGCCGCCCACAGTTGTGATACCATATGCTTCAAAGTAAGATGCGGGGTGGTGGAAGATGGATAATCGAAAATGTGATATATTGAAAGCTTCGTAGAGCAGTACAGAAACAGCGTGTTACAACATAACAAATATATATATATATATATACATACATGTATATAAATCAGAATCCATTAAAGCTTCAACGTAACTTTCGCGTTGCTCGACTTGACTAGCACTCGGCCATCGCTCTTGTCCGAACCTGCCCATTGAACTTTGCCAGACAGTACTCCCCTGTTCAAAGAGGTATACTGGATTGTGCGTTCGCGGCCCCTTCCAGATGGGTCGCTAATGGTACTTTTTTCTACGGTTGGGGGGAATAGTGATGACACGAGTTCAAATCGACCTTCGAACGTCGGGTGGAGCGACACACTGGCGGCACCATTAGACGTCTTGCTATCCAGAGACAGTGTGGAGTCGATGGGTGCAGTGGGGAAATCGATATCCAAGGGAGCGTTGGAGGTGAAGGCTTCGACATCATAAACTCCTCCAGAAGAACCTACTGTATCCTTCAAGAGGCTGATCGAAGAACATATTTGACTACGAAACGACTCTGAGCACGGAGAATGTATTGAGCGGCTAAGAGACGCGAGACTCACCCATTGCTGGTTTTTACAAGGGCCTTGGTGGGGCGTTTACCCTCGTTGGTCAGTCCGATATCTGCGTGAATGAGGGCATTGGAAGTAATGAGGTGCAATGACTTTGATGCATTAAATGTGCCCGTTATGGCCCCATTCGAGGTTATAGCGCGCAGTGAGCTGAGGGAGAATACCGTGCCAGATATGGGCGCATTGGAGGTTTTGAACAGAGCATTGTCAGCAACCAATGACTGTTGAGAGGTTAGCGGGTCTTTGACGTTCGACGAATGTACAACTACTAACCTGGGTTGTAATATGCATTTGGGACGAGACGAGAGAGATATTGGCAAAGGAGACACTGTCATGTAGATTCGCGGTAGAGATGCCGAACAGTGGCATGTCGGCTTCAAAGTTTTTGATTTCCAGAGGTTTCTTATTCGAGTTTGCGGGAAGGGACACGAGAACTGAAAAGGCCAAACCACGCTCTTGAGGATAATTGGTGTAGTTCCACCTCGGAGTCTGGCGAGAATTTTATAAGGAATTACCGTCGAGTTATATGTTCGAAGAACTCACGAAGATGCCTATGCCCGCGCTGCTCTCCCCACGCTTGATACGGCAGACCTTAGCCCGATCCCTGAATTCTTGATGGCGATAGCTAACGACTACGACAACATGAGCCGTGTCGCGGACTTCATCAGATGTGACAACGGTGAACGTCCCCCCTGCTGGGCCCCGTGCAAGGAATAGCATGGTGTCAAGGTCGTACGGGACATCGAACGTAGTGGTGGCATGCGAGGGGAAAAGAGGCAAACCCGAGGGGACTTCTTGCCAGTCCGTTACGCAGCGATGAGGGTCAATACCAGCGGGAACAGCAAAGTCATCTGGCCAGATAGCCTGCGTCGTGTACTGTGAGTTATGTACGGAAGGGATTTAGGGGTCCACGAAGGGGGCGAAAGCAGATAATCCACTCACCCGTCCGTGCCTGCTATTCCAATACGCCAATTCCGCTACGCTCCGTATAAACATCCCAATTAATGCCCATATTAGAATAGCCACGAGGAAGGCTTTGAGGAATCGTCGTCGGGCGTTATAGCCATGGGCGAGAGGGTGGACGGCGGGCACCGTGGTGTATATTAGTGGTTGCGTAGGTTGGTATTGTGAACCTGAAGCCTGGTACGACGGGGGAGCTGGTCGGTAGGGAGCAGGCTGAGGAGGAGCCCCCTTGGGAGGACTGGGAGGTGTAGAGTCAGTGACAATCATGATCGGGGGAATGTGAATTGGAGTTAGGAACTCTTGACGATCAATGGGTTTTATGAGGTTGGAGCCTGAATTTCAAGCGCTCTCGATCACAGGGGCCATATGGTTCTGGCTGCGCGCTGCGGAAATTCTACTGCGACGTGACCGGGACCGTCCTGTTAGGTCGGAGAATCAGTCGTCCTCATGACACCATTTTTATCGAAGATCACAACAACATTATAATAGATACACAAGGATTAAATAACATACACATCTATCGACCACCTTTTATCAGTGGCGCATGTGTGATCTCGTCTTTAGTAGGATCGTGCTCGACGGGGGTTGCTGCGTCTTGCTTTGCTTTAGGCTCGTCCCCGCATCCACAGTCATATTCGTCATCAAGATGTGCGCAGTCAAAAATTGGCTTCTTCAGCCGTTCGTTCACTTGATTGTGAACAAAACAGAGCCTAAGCTTGAGGTGAATAATGGAAGCGGATAAAAGAAGAGGGAACGCACCACAGCGAAGCAGCGCGCCTAGATGATGTCTGCGGAGGAAATTTCTTCAGCAACTGCTGGAATTCCGTAGCACATTCGCCACATGGATATAACCGTGACAACAGATGGAAATATGAGTTCAGGGCATCTCGTTCGTCGGCTGTTGGTGACTAGCATGGGAGTGAAATTCAGTATATTCTGGTGGACGGAGATCTAACCTCGGGGTACCGCAGAGTCATGGTGTGAATAAGTTTCCATGTTGCCCTTCCGAGCGCAGCTCTGCAACGATGTCAACGAAACCGTCAGAATTACTGGCTGACATTTTACGTACTTCGCTGTAGCGTTTCCTAGCTTTCCCATAATGACGCCCCCTTCAACGCCTTTCGCCAGCTGGTCGTGGAAGGCAGTGGTATGCGACGGACGATGCATGAACTGCTCGACCCCTCCCTCCCCAAAGAGTTCGCCAGTCCATGGATCAATGTACGCGCGAGACGGGGGATGCAGTAACGCTATCGTAGTCAAGATGAGCTAGGGCCCCGACGCCATTTGCGAATCAGCGAAATAACTCAGTCAACGTGTAGTTCACTTACCAAAGCCAAAATGATGGCCACAAACGATTTGGCAAACCGAGATAACATCCTGTTCATGTGGAGATGGTGAATATCGTGGAGCAAGGAGTATTTGGGCTGCCAGCAGCCTGGATTCTTGACCAGTTCCAGGTAACGTTCCAGTGCCAGCGCCAGTGCTCGGCTCGGCTTAGGGTCGGCCTATTCCGTGCTCGTGAGAAAGCCGCCTTGATTACATAAGGTACCAGACCCCGACGCGACAGACTTCCAGTCGCCGTCGCTACCCATCGCAGCATCGTCGTGTCCTCTGACCAATGGTATGGCCTTCTTGTGTGCCGTTATGTGGTCTTTATGCCATTGCTGATTTGGATGCACAGCTGCCTCTATCACTACTCAATGCTGCTCAGAACAAACCCATGGTGAGGCACTTGCTCCTCGCGACTCATTGCTATGTTGAGCTCATGTAGTTTCTGCATACAGTTGGTGGAACTCAAAAATGGCGAGACATTTAATGGACATCTTGTAAATTGCGACAACTTTATGAATATCACGCTGCGCGAAGTATATCAGACCAGTGTGGATGGCGATAGATTCTGGAAGCTCAAGGAGTGTTATATTCGAGGGAGTACGGTGAGTGAGGCCATGCTCCGCGAAACAATAAGTCTTTGTATTCTAATTGTCTCTAGATAAAATACTTGCGTGTTCCAGATACACTCCTTGACGCCGTCAAGGATGAACAAAACCGGGCGCGAGAAGCAAATCGAAGTACGCGGGGATCAGGCCCTGGTGGATCGAGAGGTGTGTGATGAGCCTCACAATTGACTAATTCAATGGCTCATTCGTATTGTCAGGAGGACGAGGAGGGCCGTCAAGAGGTACGCATCCCTTCTCCGCTGATCTACTGACCGGCATCGTTGACATCTGCTCTAGGACGCGGTGGGGCTCGCGGAATGCCAATGCGAGGAGGCAGAGGCAGAGGTCGGGGAATGTAGTACTTGATTTCCATGATTCATGTGGGGTGAGCACTTTCATCTTGGTATATACTGCTATCCTTTTCCGTGTCTGGGATAGTTGTTGTAGTTATGCACTATCTGCTATCAAAGCACTCTATCTGACCTTGCTGTCACATCGCTTCGATCTGCCCATACACCGTGCGCTCTGTCCAGCCATTCAAATGAAGTCAAACGCCTACTCATCTGATCCGAGCTACCCAGCCGGCCATCATAGTCTGTCAGTTCGTTCTCGTTTCCGAGCTGGTGTATTGGTAAGTTTGACTGATATGGCCGGTAAACGTCTCACTCATGTTCTTTTTGTGCCTGCAGATGACGCCCGATTGGCCTTGAGGCCCCATTTCCCTTAGATGTGATGAAAAAGATCGGCCTGCTCGGTGTAAATAGATCTCAATTTAAAGTCACCCGGATATATAGCTTCGGCTTATGGTGATGGATCCCATACACCACTCAGCCGCGACAATGCAGGTCTTGAACAACCTACCGCTGGATATTCTTCCTTCTATTTTATCACATCTCGTCGACCGCAGGGACCGCTACTCTTGTGCTTTAGTAAACAAAACCTTCAATCGCGTCACTACACCCCTCCTCTATCGGAAGCTGGATTCTCGCATCCTCTCCAACGTGAGTCCAAATGAATCGCTACCCTGCCGCCTGTTTATTCACTCCGCCGCAACGTCTTAGACAACGTTGTCTCATCCCTTCGAAACCCTCTTAATCCGGCCCGACCTCGCGCAATATGTGCGACATGTGACCGAAACTGGTGCTGTTCTTCGAATGCTTCATGTTCGCTACCCCAATATTACGGAAGACACCCTTCGAGCACTTTCACTTTGTGCAAACATTCACTCTTTGACTTGGGTCGACGATGACTCTTTCAGCTCATCGGACTCGCCTTTGCTCGGCCTTTTACCCGTCCTTCGCTCGCTCCCACTACGGGAACTCACCATTAGGACGCACTCTGATCTTGGAGAACATCTTTGGAACGAACTGATACAACTGAACGGACTACGGCGCCTCTCGATATGGTGCATGGCGGGGCCTCCCGCACCACTTCAATTGCGGGTAGCGCAGGAAGGAACGACCTTAACTCACCTTGAACTTGGCGTCAGTGTATTCACCACGTCAACAATGGATCGTACGTGCTCCTCGTGTTCCGCAGTCGTTCTGTCAATGCTCCACTTACATCCTTTTCTCAGTGTTTACGCACCTACAGCTGCTCCGGGAACTTCGATTGAAAGGTACCCCTGTATCGGCTCTAGCCAGCATCTTGGTTCGGCTCCCAAACTTGCATACCTTCGATGTCGAATACCTTATGGCATCACCGACATCACCGTTTCGACATGAATTCTCATCACTGAGCCATTCGGGTCCGTATCCGCGTTTGCGGAAGCTAATTATCAGAACAAATACGTCTGATCTTATGGTCATCGAAATGCTATTCCCATGGGTTCATACACTGTTGCCCCATACGTCCCTTGAGTCGTTCCATCTCCACGCTTTCACGAGTTCCAGCTCTGGTCGCGTACATATACCCGAAACATTCATCCATGATCTGGCATGCGTTCACGGGAGCGTACTGAAAGAATTCCTGGTCGACGATTCTTTCGTGACGTTAGACGATGTCCAGACCCTCTGCATGGCCTTCCCGAGACTGGAGAACCTATCTTGCGCTCTTGCTAGTCCCGATGTGGTGAGTGGAGGCCAATTGATACCTACCGGCGGTTTGCTGACCGGTCTACCTATCTAGGTTTCAATTGCGCAAGCAATGTCAGATGCCCGAGCTCTGAAACAGCTGAAGCTCCAGGTTCAATGGACGTCATCGCGCGGCACTACCAATATAGATGCCTCCACCGGTTCGCCCTCGACAATGTCGCAGTCCAGGCGACTTCGGAGTAATCATACACCATACGCAGCTAGAATATCGTCGAAACGCCTATCAGCCTGTCCCTTGTTCACTGCCGACGATGCTCGCACGCTGATGGTAAACTCCCCACTCCTCAATCTCGTTGAAATTAATACTGAACATTATTTGGTGGGCGCGTTTGTCGCGGTTTGTGATGACATCGCTGAACATTCCGTTACTCAGGGCAAATGGATACTGAAAGGCAGAAGGAGGGAACCGGGGCTTGTTCAGGTAGTAGAAAACATCTCGCTCCCACCAGTGAACTGGTCGAAGTGGTATTGAGTTTCTTATCTTATCTTATCTTCGCCTACCAGAATCGATCAATCTTCACTTCATTTATCACCTACTCTTGACCATCATGTTCTACATCATCGGGCTCGGTCTATGTGACGAAAAGGACATAACTGTTCGCGGGCTTGAGGTAGGATATTAATTCCTAAAGCAAGATCGACCTCAAGAATGTCTTCCGTAGGCAGTTAAGAGCTCAACGCGAGTGTATCTAGAAGCGTACACCAGTATCCTGATGGTCGAGAAAGATCGCTTGGTTTGTCCATTATATGGTTGTTGGTTGACTGGTGGCTCATGTGCGTTGGAAGGATCCAGGAAGCGTTCTATGAGAAAGAGCTCATTGTAGCTGATCGCGACATGGTGGAGACACAGAGCGATGAAATCCTTGCTGGCGCGGACACAGGACATGTATCGCTCCTCGTAGTAGGGGATCCGCTCGGGTAACGCACAAATAATCATCTCTAGAACGCGCTTTTACTCATCAGACGCCAGTGCGACTACCCACACCGATATAGTCTTGCGTGCTCGAGCACTCGGTATCCCCGTCAGAATCATTAACAACGCGTCGATCATGAACGCCGTAGGCGTATGCGGCCTGCAGCTCTACAACTTCGGACAGACCGTATCCTTGCCATTCTTCACAGAAACATGGAAACCCGACTCCTGGTACGGGCGTATAAAGGAAAACCTCGATATCGGACTCCATACTTTGGTTCTGCTGGACATCAAGGTGAAGGAACAAAGTGAAGAGAACCTTGCTAGGTAAGTTTCCTCGCTGATGTTGCGCCTGTGACCCTTGTTCTGAAGTTTGTGTCTTCAGAGGGCGGAAGATCTACGAACCCCCGCGATACATGTCCATCCCAACAGCCATATCTCAGCTACTAGAAGTAGAAAGCACGAGAGGCGAAGGAGCTCTGGACCCAGATAAAACCCTCGCTATCGCGCTCTCTCGTGTCGGCGGCCATCCACCTGGAGATCAATCTCAATCGACTGACGGGGAGACCATCGTCAGCGGCACGCTTGCGGAATTGGCGGCGGCACCTCCAGAGGCGTACGGCCAACCGCTACACAGTCTAGTGATTGTCGGGAAGAGGCTCCACTACCTTGAAGTCGATTATGCGGGCGAATGGGCGCGTAATAAGGAGAACTGGAGAAGCGTAGCTGAAAACGTTTACGGATGTACACTTGAATAGACTACCGCGCTCGCCGCCCGAAGTAGGGCAACTAAGATCATCAAAGATAAATTATAAGTGGCAATGAACAACGTCTGCTCAAATCTATTACGCTTTAAGGGGTCGCACGACCAGGCCATCTAAAGTGATCGGTAAGAAGATGTAATTGAGTAAGAGTGGAAGGCGCACCTAGGATACAGAGTGCATTCCCTGACAGTGAATCTATTCGCCAGCCAGGCCAGGAATCGCTATAAATCGGGAAAGGATCAGAGGAGTCTCTTATTGAGTGAATATTGAAACACACCTCGACACCCAGTCCATACCCTCCGTGTTCGCACGTACCATACTTACGCTGATCTGTGAACCAGTAGTAAGGTTCCGGGTCGATGCCTTCGTGTTTATATGCCGCAAGTAGCTCTTCCTGGTCAGCTATCCTCATAGACCCACCTAATTCACAGAAAATCAGCAAGTGCGTGGCCAGCTATTTCGAAGGGCACTGACCGACAATCTCGCCGACATTTGGCATCAACAGATCACAACTCTCTGTGTACACCATACCTTCTTGATCCATACCCTCTCTCGGTGGCATTCTCTTCATATAGAAAGCCTTGAGCTCCTTAGGGAACCCAAACAGGAAGACAGGCTTATTGATGATATCCGTCATCTGACGTTCTGCAGCTTCTGCAATATCATCGCCGAGCTTATGCTCTACCATCACGATCTGCCCATCTTCACCCTTGACCGGGTTGCCTTCGGCATCTTCCTCAGGCCGCTTGATGCCGTGTTCGTTCAACCACTGGATAGCGCCGGGGTAGGACATCCGGACGAATGGTCGGCTTGGCGCGACGAAGGACGGGTTCAATGTCTGTACGAGGGCAGCGGAAGCGGGGTTGGAGAGGAGTTGGTCGACTGTTTCACAGATCTAAATCGGACTGGGTTACTGAAGTTCCCCAAGATGAGTGGGTGAGGCACTCACAATTGCTTCGATGTGGTTCATGAGATCTTCAAAGGTGATAAATGCGAGTTCAGCTTCCAGGTGAGTATATTCGCTCAGGTGCCGTCTCGTATGGCTGAGGGGAGATGTTTAGTAACGGAATTCCTTCAATTACTATGCCCCTCACCTGTTTTCAGCGCGGAAGCTCTCTTGCACACAGAATACGTCGCCCAAACTAGGCAGACACGTTTCTAGGTACAACTGGGAACTCTGGGTTAAGAAGGCCGGCTGGCCGTAGTAGTCGAACTTGAACAGCGTCGCTCCGCCCTCAACTTGGGTCTGCACCATGCATGGCGGTGTCACTTCGATGAGGGAGTGCGAGGTCAAGGCCTTCCGGAAGGCGGTCAATAGGTGGGCCCTAAGACGCAGGACCGAAGAAGCGGTTTCGCCACGTATGACGAGATGGCGAAGATCAGCGAGGATTGAAGGGTCGGATTTCTGAATAACATTTTAGTTATAGTATAAGAGCAGTATATATCCCGACACACCTCGTTCAAGCGGTTGGTGAAGGCATCGTCGGCTCCGGGAGCAGCACCCAGCACTTGCCAATAATCTACAATCAACTCGTGACCACCCGGGGCAGTCTTGCCTTCGGGGACGGTTTGCAACGTTCCGATAAGCTCGACCGAAGATTCCAGAGTGAGAGTCAAAGCAGCATATGTCTGGCTCTGTATGTCGTGTGACAAATGTGCGTATATTCCGGAGAATCGACAAACGCACCACTTTGCCTGAAAGAACGACCTGGAGATAGCCTGTGCCGTCCCTCACGACAAGGAAGATGATGTCCTTCTGTTGTCGCAGACGATGGATCCACCCGAATACGCGCACTCGCTTTTCACGAAAGTATTCAAGCTGGTCGATCTTAGACTAGGTAACACTGAAAGTTAGGAGTAGTCGAGGGGGTAAAGACTGATAATACCTTTATGGCCTTGGGCAACGACTCGTCCTCGACCAGAACAATCTTCTTGCTGTCCTCCAGCAATTTATCTCGTTTCTCCTTCTCATCGCCCTTCTCCTTTGTTTCTTTCGCCGCTAGCTCCTCCTGTTTCTTGCGCTTTTTCTCCATCCCTTCCGCCGTTTTCTTGGCCTTCTTCAAAGAAGATTGAGTGGGTTCGTCGTATGTTGCTGTCGCATCCTTTCGAACCTGGTACGACGTTGTTGGGCCGTGCGTAAAAACGGCGAAGCCCAGCGACGCATACGGGGCCTCCTGGCTCCCAGAACCAGTGGCATCTGAACCAGAGGCTTCATCTATATAGATTGTAGACATCAGCTTAGCAGCTTGTGCACCTGACGGTTGAAATCAAAAGTAGTTGGCGCGTGTGTCAAGTCAAGCTCAATGTAATGGTGATGTGACTCGATAAGACTCGAGAGGAAATGCCTTGATCTCTTATCGCGACCCATCTGCCTGCCAGCAAACAACCACCTTACGGGTCTGGGCACGTCGCGAAGAGGATAATGAGCTTCGATTTGTTTGCAAAAAAACTTCTTGCGCGCTGGCAGAACTGAATTCTGGCATCTCAGCGCTCACTGTCGTAGTACGCCAATTTTGGCTGAGTACCTACAGGCCAGAAAAACGGATGCTCGTATTTCCACCACCACACACCGCGACGATCGGTTGACACTCGAAGCGTGGAACAATGATGTTGAAGCTATAGTAAATTCCATCATGGATCGTTACGGAGGCAGCAAGGGATCTGCTTGGCAGGACCAGCACACCACCAAAAGAGATACATTGATGGATGGAAGCGCACCATGGTATATCTCCCTTCTGTCACAGATGGAGGTGTTTGGGGACTGTGGGCGCCCTCTTGCTCGATCCTCCCAAGGCCTCATACTCTTTTAAGCTCGGTGGTGAGCTCGCCGTTGTTATGGCTATTTTCAACAAAGTATCGGCCCTACAAATCGACGGCGTCGACAGTGCTTTCTACAGAGAAGAGGTCCCCGGCGTTGTCTGTGTCGAAGCTTGCAACCATGACACTGTGCTCGCTGTTCTCAAAGGTGTTAACAATGTCCGGCTCCCGCGTTATCACAATAGACCCATCGATCAGGCTCAGATGGATGGGTATCATAGCACTATCGCGACTAGATTGTTAGTCTAGATACTTGTTTGCAGAAGACATGGGGCGTTGACGTTGAGGGCCCCGAGCGTATAGTACGTTGTTTAACGGGAGAAGGTGCCGAGGAACACAAAGGGCTAGACTCATGAATAATGCCGGACATCGAGAGGGAGGGAGCTAAGGTAGGGTCGCCATTGTTGGTGAACGAGAGAGGACGGCAAGTGATGGAGACTAGCACAGACTAGCAGGGTATCTCATATGAGTCGTATCAGACCTCAGGCCTCCTGCAGGATAAATAAAATTGGACGTGATATGAACCTATAGAGCAAACTTAGGCCTCAGTTCGCAGTGGCCATGACTGTTTGTAGTATTGTACTACAGTACTATTTGGTGTTCGAATTGAAAGTAACAAGAGCGGTCTGTCGTACCTATGGGAGTGACACATTGATTGTGGGTGCCGGAACACTCAAGGCTGCCGCTGCCCCTCGAATGTCCTGTAATTCCACTGAGAAGGCCTGACATATTGCTGTATTTACAGCAGGGTTCAGAGCCGGGGATTCCTTGAGGGAGATGCTGCCGCGTGGCCTGGTTGGATGCGCAGGAGCACCCAAGGAATTTGCGTCTGATCCCTGCTGCCCAACGAGATCCTCTCGCAGATGGCAGAGCTTGAGTACCGCTTCCCACCCAATGCATGCAGCTTCAGCCTTGTTGATTTTCTCCCTCCGACTTACTAGCTCTGCATACCCTTGCTTGACCCACTGCTCGACTTTGTATGAACGCCCGTAATCAACATATTCCGTGGCCGTGAAGACAGGACGTAGAGCCTCACTCGACGAGGATGAAAGCTTCGTAATGGCGGTCTGCCGAAGGTAGGCGAACCCCCATAGATTGGCAAGCTTGAGAACGGAAAGCCAGTGCGAAGTGCCGAAGGACTTCCTCGGCTCTACTTGCGTACTGCGTTGATGTTGGTCAGTAAATGCCCACAGATGCCATTAAATTGATGGTACGGACTATTTCGCTGCCAATATTACTTCGAGAAACCGCTCAAAGTCGACCTTGCTCACGCCATCAAGCTTGATGGGCATCTCGTCACTCTCTCCCTCCGCCGCCGCTCCCGGCTGCGGTTTAAGTGTAAACATGTCGTTGAATATGGCAGAATACTGCCTCAGGTAACCGGTGGGAACTCTGAATAGCTTCAACCTGCGATAGGTTCAGAAATGAGACATGGCAGTTTTCATATATAGTGTGGGGAGCAAGGCTTCAGAGAGGTTTACATACTTGAAATATGGAGATGTCCATGTAGAACAACTGGTGGCGAGCCAGAGCTTGGGTAGTAGCGAAAGACATTTGGTTTTTGTTGGCGATAGATGAGGAGGCTGAAATCTGAAATGGGGGAAACACACCTCCAGCCTTGTTTTTAAGTATCTTTACCTAGCATCATCATCATCATCATCAGCGCAGCACCTTCATGGAAAACTTTGCGAAGATCTCGCTGCATATGACGATCAGTCTAGGACACACCAATTATATCTGGGGTTGGTCTGTTTCACAGATGTCACAGCACAGTCGATGAACGTGTCAACTGTATTGCCGCAGTACGCTTCCTGGGAGTACGATATCTTTCGTTCACATTCGATGCATGTACCTTCTTGGCCTTTGGGCACAGCAAGTGAGTAATATCGCTTCTCAGTCCCATCACACACCTCGCTATAGGGCCCGCATCAACATTGCACAATCCTGGCCGCGCCCTGGCTCATGACGCGTCGTCAAGTTGGAATAAGTAGCACTTCTGCGAGAGGACCTTCGGTCTGTTCTGATTTAGCTCACCAGCAGTCAAGTTGAAGCCATGTCGTATTTGAGAAGAAAACGTTATTATGGCACTCAATCCGTTCTTGAAAATCATATGTTAACGTGCTTCTCCTATGCTGATGGAGTCCCGCTCAGATGTTGTCAATAGATGAGCTTTGCGAATGACAGCGAGCATTGCTTAGGCGTGAAGTCTAGATTGGCGACAGACATCCCCATGAATCAGCTTGTGCAGGTGCCAAGGACGTACTTGTGAAACTTGAGCGATGTCGCAGCCTCGCTCAGACCGGGTGATTCGAGCTGGTTTCCCTATAAAACACAGTGAGTATGAGACCTATTTATGTTGATACCTTGAATTCAAGTCGAAAACAGGACGAGCGCCAATACATCATTGTCACGGCAACGTTTCCATTCGGTGCTACCCATAACCCGGTCTCGTATATTCCACCAGCACTGGAAGCTGAAGCAAGATGAATTTCAGCAGCCAGGACGCGTTCGACAATGTGACCGTCGAGTCCCTCCTCACGCTCGCCGGGGTCATCGATGGCGACAAGATCGCGCCGGAAGGACTAGAGTACAGGATCCTACAGGCCCAAGTACGTTTCGAACCCAACTCTTTTCGATTTAGGACGCGTCAAGACTGATTTAATTGATGATTCCAGCTGGGCTACCTCCAGCGCAAACCACGCGCAGAGCAGACAAAAGTCCACAGGTCCGTTGAGTACCTCGCTGATGTCGCGTTATATGGCTGAGCCAAGAGGGACAGTGAGGTCGCTGCGAAGCACCTACCAGCTCTGGCTGACAAGTTCAGAAACGAAACTGGCGCACTCAACCCCGTGATGACACTACTGAACGTGATTTCGTATACGTCTGTGCCGTTTTTCTGATCCGATGATGCGTTGATGACAATCCACCTGTCTTCGAACACAGACCCTACTTTGTTCGTTTTCTCAAGACACCAGGTGGACGAGGTATCGCGGCTTTACAGACCAAACGCACGGCCGAAGATGCCGCTGATATCGAGAAGATGGACGTCGACAGGGTCGGCGAAGTCGGACAGTTTCTAGCGACTATCTTGCTACTGCAGGGTACTTCCGATGTAGACGAAGCAGATAAACGGGCTCTCATACCCAAGCTGAAAGCATGGGAGAGATCTTTCCGCGGCCGACTCGCTTCGGAGACCAGTGGGCGGTGCATCGCGATATTGGCAGATGACCCGTGAGCGCGTTTTCAATAACGCGTGCGCGTGAAGCTTTATTGACTTCGTTTTCATTTAGTGGTATGCGTGGAGCCATGGCCCATGTCAAGAAGATGCTCGAAGGACAACTGCACCAGTGCGGTGGGTCAGGTTGCAGTCTTACTTCTCGGCCAACCGGAGGGGATCTGCTCCAATGTTCAAGGTGAATCTCTTGAACCTGCCGACTCAAATGAGTAAGATCTAAGTTTCACGGTTGCTCCTGTTGTAGGTGCAAATCAGCTGTCTACGTGAGTTCATCGGCTCTTGAGGACAGACCTGACTCTCCCTGACCGTTTCGTCGCACCTTCTTTCAGTGCAGCCGGGAACACCAAAAGCAAGCATGGCCTTCGCACAAGCCGTCTTGCTTCCAAGCTGCGTTCTGATGAGGTCCTTCTGTACGTTTCGCATTCCACGTTACGTGTACTTCGTTTCGCCAGACCCCCTATACTGGTGCTTCTTCGATAGGAGAGCAGTAATATTGAATCCATGATGCATCAATTTGAACTTCATTTATGAACAAGCGTTTCATAGCACAACCATCGGGTGCTCTTATGGTAGAGTAATTTTCGCGTTGCTGACGAGTACTAGGTCAGGCAAACAAGCGCCTCAGACTCGGTGAGAACGCGACTTCGGAGAAGGTTCGGAAAACTTTAAACGACGAGCAAGCTGCGACACGCACCCTTCTGAACGATTCTTCCAGGTGGGCGAAACGTAATCCCACCGCCTAGCGCGGGGCGCGCTGCACCGCACCACCAGACCCCGCTTCCAGCTGCAATGGATTCCTACCCCGAACCGCTCGAGCAGGTAAATAGACACCCGAGAAGGAGTCTTGGGTTGATAATAACTATTGACGTCGCGCAGGCCTTCCAAAGAGTGGAAGCAGAGGCTGAACGACGTGCTCAAGAAGAGCTGGCGGCCGCAAAGCGAAATACCGGTGCACCTGCAGCAGCTTTTGCTACTGAAGTACGACGGCGTGGAAGCATCTCGTTTTCGAAGCTTGGCGAGGTGGGTCGATTCTGGCCGTTGTGCCGTCTTGCCACCTTGGCTGACGATGCGTGGATAGCTCGCGGCGGCAGGTCTGAATAGCGGTCCTCCAATGTCAGTAATCCCCGCCTCGAAAGCCGGCTTCTACGAGGATCAGCTGGTGCGCGAATCTTCCGCGAGATTACTGCTCGGCTAGCCTAATCTCTACGCGATTAGAACCGTAGCTTCGACTCTTTCAGCTCAGCGCATTTGGGTCAGGATGCCGATACGGAAGAAGACAACGGCATTACGCAGCTGCACATTATGGGCGGGCGGCAGTCTATGTCTATCGCCAAGGTTGTCGGCAATTTACTTCCACGGAAACTGAGCAGGGCCAGTGAGGCGAATACGATCACCAATGTGGTGATCGGGGTTTCGGTTGAAGAAGCAGCCATATTAGAGAGTCAAGACCTACAACCAGTCGCTGGCGCCGTGGTATCTGGTCCCATTGGCCCTAGAGGCCAGAAACTTGGGTCGGCGGAGTCCTCGTTGCCTGGGCGCTGGGTGGGGCGCGTAAGGAGCGCTGCACAAAGGTTCTGTCGGAAAGGCACAAATTTTTCTTGACGATCTCGAGTTCGCCACTATCTGTTGTCATACACTCCATCTCCGTTTCTTGTTTCGCCTGTGCGTTGCCAATCGCCCAATTGTCTTCACTTCTCTTTGACTTCTCTCATCTCGGAATCAATTGTCATTTCTCCTCTTCCTTTTTCCCCATGAAGCCCACGTGATGGCATGGTGCTTTTGACTCGGCCAGGGTCCGCACCTTGCAGGGTATCGATCACATTTTAGGTCTTGTTCGCTCACACCACAATAGTTCTCAGACTACCGCAGACCCCCGGCGAAACAAAAGCAGACAACCGAAGATCCTGCAAATCTCGATATAAAATGCAAGCTAGACCGATCGTGTGGTGCCGTGGCCAGTCGATTTTGCCTCAAAACCCTTCTCGGCCGTAGCTTCCAGCAATCTCTCCTCCCCCCAGCCTTATCACCCTCATACCTCATATCCGCCCATCGTGCCATGATTGAGGTAGCGCGAGGCGAGTATATAGCATCGACCAGCAACCTTGCTCATTTGCAATCGCAAATACCAGAGCCTATACATTCCTCTCAGTTTCAGGTGCGTCACTTCGTGGTATAGTAGCGATCCACACAAATTGATATGACAAACATATACAGATGTATAGCGATGTTCTTACCCCAGCCGATATCCTCTTCCTCAACTCCCTCGAATTCGCGTCGCCTGATTTCAAGCAACCGCTACCATACGATGTCGGTACTTCCCTCGACGAACAGAGTGTTTGGGAAGACGAACATCCGCGGGGTACCCTTGCTGGATCGTTGGATCCAACGATGCTTGATATCGGGTTCGACTGCTCGTGCCTCGACAACCTTGATGAGAAGCTGCTCGTGAGCCCCATTGAGTCCTTTGCCGACACCTGCTGGGCCTCCGCCGTTCACGACGACCCCTTGCCCCGATCGCCGCGACGCCACTATCCCCAAATCCACACCAACCTAGGCCTTATTCATTCGCTAAGCGACTCGGATTCAGACGACGAGACATGTCATGACACTCCTATCTCTCCTTATGGTAAATTTGGAGATATTTCGGGCATATTTGTACCGGTGAGTGCTATTGTTGGACGCCGCTAGGGATCGCTGGTCCGATGACCTTCCTCTCATGGTAGACACACACCCACGATATGTCTAAAGACCGTGCCTCACACCTTCCTGGCGATTATTACGACGACGGCGAAAAGTCGCTTATATGGACGCAGCCGCACTTCACTACGTCGGATCCAAAGCAATCGATTGGGTTCTTCCCCATCCCGGCTTCCACAGCCTCGCGACGCAATGCACCTAGGAGACCCGGAACGAGGGGGATAGAGCGCATTATGACCATATGCACAAACTTGATAAGGCTACCTTCATAGCGCTGAAGAAGGTAAGGGTTCAGTGTCATAGAAGCGAAGTATATCCTTCTCACCAATTCTCCTTCTCACCGTGCACAGACCCTCTGGATCTATAACTGTACACACCATACCTGATTGCATGACAACGCCAATACGGTCGGCTTTACGTTATGCATCTTATATCCGCGCCACAGCTCACGTTCCCCTCTCCCTTGCGCGGGCTGTCGTTTCATCGCAGCGCTCGTACGACACTTGTGCTCCTATGTACACGGACTCTATCCTCATGGACGTTTGTTGTACATCTACCAACGACATTCGTTGCCTGTATTCCCATGCCACCATCACCCACACTCCTTCCTTATCTAGGTCTTCATCTACCCCCAGTGTAACTTCTTGGTTTTATATCTCGGCGCAGAGCCGCAAAAACACCCGCGTGCAATCTGGCTATTCTCGCTATACAAACTTCCCTCCTTCATTTGTTGAATGTTCTATTCGAAGTATGTAACGTAAACTTAGCGGTTGCCATCCAGTCTCGAGGGAAGCAACCCCTTTTGCCGATCCGATAATGAAATCGAGGGTACACCCTGGGATGCCATGTCGTCGAATCAGGGAGACAAACGGCGTGCTGGGATTGGGGTTGGATGTCGACGCCTCGACGCCCCATACTCACCAACCCTGAAGGCCTGACCTTTCGTTACCCGAGAATTAACCTACGTCCTCGGTGCACCCTGCCACACCCCTTCACCAGGTCAAAAAGCATCAGCGGTTCGCTTTAACGCAACTGTTCATCGAAGATGTGTCGTGTCCACATACACATGGTTAGCTGGCGAGGGGTAGTAGAGCTTGATCCCGCCTTCTGACCTGTGGCGAGCAGCCTGCTCCACTTATTTCAACAGCGGCGTGAGCTAGGTACCTTCTGGTGCCTTTCGACTTTGCCAATTGACCTCCAATCTGCAGCAGCGTATAGGCTGACAGTGGCTTGTATGATGTGGGTTACGGTCTAGTGTTTCCCCATCGCCTCTACTAAAGGCCGATGGGGCGTACTAAGAACAGGCCGTGCCGCCGAGGTCCACCCGCTCGTGAAGGAGACAGGGCCTCGAACTGCTAACTGATACAGCGCCAGTCCCCTTAGGCTTTGCGGTGATGCTATAGTGCGGATGGAACGGGCGAAGTCACGTCTATACAGTGCTGTGTCAGGTACCATGTAATTAATTTGGCAGAAGGAAGTGACTTACTAGCGCAACTTCTATATGTCAAGATAGCTTCCAGCCTTTCACGATTGTGGGTTCAAGTACCTCCGTATGTTCAATCATGCCGTATGTTCAATCATGAAAAATTATCAGACCGTCCACCGCGTCTACGTGAAGCCCACATCCGTTTCTTGATGCACTCGAAGCCAGGCTCAAGGGATTATCACCGCACGCACGATAGCGTACATCATCGTCCTCCCCACCTGCCCTTCGTCCTGTGTACAACTTTACGGAATGCTGAGAAACGGGCATCAACTTCGTTCGAAGGCAAACCCACGATGCATAGGAAATCAGACTGCAAAGAAGTTTCATTTGAGCAAGATGTACGTGAGCGAGTTTTTTTAAAGAGATCCTTGGTTGACCTTTTGCTTGAACATAATTCCACATGAGTAAAGGAACGGTTACAGGGCCTGGGACCAGTCGCCATCCTGCTAGTCGTAAAGATGCGAAGACTCGGAGGTGACTTCTCACATCTTCACCGTCTTGATCAGGTTCATGATTCCAGAATCGTCCCTGCGAGTGTGACTTGACCCGCCTCCATCGATTCCGCGCGCCACGATGACGAGAAAGATCTCCTGAAAAACAGAGTGGACTTGCATCGGAGCAGCAAAGATCAGCAAGCGAGCGGTCAACCACCCTGCCTCCAAATAATCACAGAAAGAGAGTTCCAACCCGAAGAGGATCATGAGGCTTTTTGATGCTCTATGTCGCTTACCCTGGGATCCGAGCCATCTGCAGAAACCAACGCGACGATGGGTCGCTAGAATTTTGGGTGCTTCCATTATTTTTGCGTCCTGATACACATTGAACGAGATGGCAACATTACCTGATGAGAAGTATACACTTCACACATTGATCTTGGTCGAGGCCACAGGTGCGCAATCTATTATATTAAGTCTCGATCCGTGTGAACTTTGAACTTAGGTAATCTTAGGTAAGCAGCAAATGGCCAACTGTTGCGCGCGCTTCTTCTGTGTGAGGATAGAGGAATAGGAGATAGGAGAGGATGTCTTGCGAGTAAGATTCTGCTGAGAAGGGGGGAATATATAAGCCATAGAGTATAAATATGGGTAGTCCCTTACACAAGCCTCTGAATGAGCTGAACAGGGTCTGTGAAGGCTTGAGATGGGTGCTATATAGAATGATAGTACAGATGTAAATCTCATCATGAAATGAATTCAGTGTATGTAGATCAATATATACTTCAGAAATAATTACATGAGATGTAATATGATATATTCAGTTGATTACCACAATAATGAAGCTCAAATAATGGAGTAAAGGTTGGGGCAACCAGAGAGGGTAGCTAAAGCTACTCAACTTCCATGCCCTAAGCACTGAGTTTGGCTTTGGGCTCAGCATAGGATACTATGAGATTGCATGATTATAGCTGTAGCAGAACAAAATTTCATTTGTCAGGCTTGAATGACAAATTCATAAACCAAAGCATTTCAAGTTCAGGATGACAGGGGATACACAGTAGGAGATAGGAGGCACAGTAACTAAACTCAGTTGTTGTGGGACAAATAGGGGTACTTGGACATAGAATGTTAAATAGAATGGGGGCTGTAAGCAACTACATTGAGCACTTTGACAAGTGCTGATATCAATAGCCAAGACTCCTCAGCACAAATTAAGAGGGAATGATGGTGGGAAGTGGTATATAATGATGGCCAAATCCTTCAAGAGTCAATCCAAGTGAGTGGTTAGCAGACTGAGTGCACAGCAATGGTGAAGCAATAAGTAAACTGTACTCTAATGACTTCTAAGCACCATATTTTCCATGAGATACACTTATCTGTTAAGAGCCACACTCACAGAGGGGCCCAGGGATACACGGACCTGCAGGTGTGCGGTTCCACGTAGAGGCGCGGAGGGAAACAAGGGAGTGAGGACATACAGGCTTGGCTTCAGCCGCGCGTATGTGTGGCCTGAGTCTGTAGCCAGAACGCATGTTAGTAGCCCTAAGGGGCCTCCTGTAAGGGCAACCTCAAGATGGCCGACAGCGCAGGCCTAGCAGAGGGAGAATCCAAAGAGATGAATAAGGCTAACTACAATACATGAGAGAGCTGCTCACCTAGCAGAGGGAGAATCCAAAGAGAACAGGATGGGGATTCTCCATGCTAGGAAGCGAAGTATATACTGTAGTAGCGTGGGAGGAATGAAGGGTAACTGTACAGTACACCAGCCACAGGTACGAACGAATATCACAAGGTACGAGGGGGCATGTGATAATGAAGTGGAAGGGGAATGTACAGGAGTCGTGCCAGCGACCTGGGGAAGTGGGGACAAGGAGTAATGAAGTGGGAAAGGAGGATAGAGGTAGCCCGGACGAGCCCCGGAGTGTATCTACGAGTCCGAGGTGTCCGAAGCGAGTCCGAGGCGAGTCCGAGGCGCGGGAAGACTCCGGAGTCACCGGACGTGGCTCGGATGCGAAAGGAGTGGGCGGAAAGGAAGTGGAAAGGAAAGGAAGCGAAAAGGAACAAAGGGGAACGAAGGAAATGTAGGTAAGAGTCCATGGGATGAAGGAAAGGAGAGAAAATAGGAGTGTCCCCTTACATCACCCCCCCTTCAAGGTTGCGGCGACCCGACGCGAAGATTCCTGCCTGCCGCGCCATGAATTCACCAACCCCGAAACTCCGGACTGCTGCGAGAAGATGTCGAAGTACGACTGCACAGAGCCCGGAGCCTTCCGACTGCGCCAACGCTCCCAGGACTGGTCCAGTGCTGTAGGAGTCATCCGGAGCGGTGCAGGGGTCATCGGACTCGTCGGACTCATCCGGAGTGAGCGCACTGCGTCCGGATGACGATCATGGAAGTCCTTGACCTTCTGGGCAGCATGCTGGAGGTTGCTCGCAGGCTCCCAGGAGTCGTGCTCAATGCCATAACCTCGCCAGCGTACCAGATACTTCAGGACCCGACCAAACCGTCTGCTGTTCCGGACCTCTTCTACCTCGTGCTCTTCTTCTCCGTCAATGAGCTGCGGAGGTGGCGGAGCGACAGGGCGTCTACCCGGAATGGGATCCGGGACGAAGGGAGAGAGTTTGACCACAGGGAAGACCGGGTGGAGACGGGATAAGCCCGGGGGGAGCTGGAGTCGATACGCCGCCTTGCCAACCTTCCGGACGACCTTGTAAGGACCGAGTCGTGCGTGTCCGAGTTTCCGGGAGGGTCGGGCAAGGTTGATGTCCGACGAGTCCAGCCAAACCTTGTCACCCGGTTGGTACTCCGGAGCAGGAGTCCGACGCTGATCATAGTAACGCTTCATGTCATCCTGAGCCTTGACCAATGCAGACTGAGCTTCATCAACTGCAGACTTCATCCGATGTACAAACTCGTTTGCGGACTCCATCCGAGACGGTGGCTGATGAGGTTCAAACCCGAGGCGAGGATGTCGGCCAGTATCTAGGAGGAAAGGTGACTGCTGAGTCGACGCGTGGACCCGGTTGTTGTACGCAAACTCCGCCATAGGTAGGAGGCGAGCCCAGTCGTCCTGACGCTCTCCGACGAAGATCCGGAGATAGGACTCGAGTTCCTGGTTGGTCCGTTCCGTCTGTCCGTCGGACTGAGGGTGGTACGCAGTGGAGGCAGCCAGCTTGATTCCGAGCATCCGGTAGACTTCCCGGGTGAACTCTGCAACGAACTGCGGACCCCGGTCGGACACAACAGACCGAGGGAGTCCATGCAGCTTCCAGACGTTCTGCAGGTACAAGTTTGCGGACCCGAGGGCAGACACTGTGGTGTGAGTCGGAATGAAGTGGGCGCGTTTGC